TGCTATACAAATAAACTTGCCTTGCCTTGACTAATATTTTCATTGAAATATCTCTTTTGTTTTGGTTACTCTTCCCATTGTGCGTAACACTAGTCACAAAAGCTTATGTTGACAAGATGAAATGATTTGAACATCTGTGTTTCTTGCACCGCCCCATCAGATATGATTTCATTTTTCCTGTGTCTGTCCTTTGAAAATACCAGATTTTGTGCATTATTTCATGTTTTATACTAAATTATAAACTTTGTCCCTACACCTACTTTTGAAGCTACTCATACTTAAGTAATAGTTTGAGAATCTAGAGACTTCTATTGGGTGTGTAGTGTCCCTGGTACATGCATTCAGAACATACATGAAAAGAAGAAGTTGAGCAATAGTGGAGATAAAACACACCTACAGAGAACAGTATGCTTACAAATAGTCCCTCCACAAATTGGTCAACATAATAATTACAGGGGCGGATTGAGGCCCTTAGCGGAGCCTTCAGTGGGACCCTCACTGCCTGAACTACCTGGGTGCACTCTAACTACAGACCTGCAAAATACAGAGTCTTATCAATCCTGTATGGTGTAGTGGTCAGAAGTTTTTTTAGTACTTCTCTGCGTTATTGTGTGAACCCACGTGAAATATGCAGCCTTGGTCAAATACTCACCACAGTACGCCGCAGTTGGAATAAGAGATAGTCTGCAGGACCCACTCAAAAGACACGCAGAACTTGCACCATATTGAGTTTAAATCTGGGATTATGCTCCTGAGCCTCTCTGACTAAGAAAGGAACTGCAATCACAATTGGGCTTGGGTTGCAACTTCCCAGTGGACACAACTTTTGCTCATTCCCCAGTTACGCCATGAATGTGAAAACCTAACACCTCTGAATTTACTCTCATTACTTACTTGCTATTTTTTGCTATTTATTTAGGATTTATTGTTACCATTTCTGTATTTTTTCTCTTTGTTATTATAATTTGACGTGTGAGCTACTGTGTCTAAGTAATTTGTCTAGTGGATCAATAAAGTTTGTCTAAGTCTAAATCTAAAAAATGTAACAATAACTCCACTAGGTCTGATTAATGATGGAGTTTTGGTAGTGAGGATTCAGATCAGAGAAAATCCTATTTCATGGAGCAAGTGACACAAAAAGCAGGTATAGGTAAAGAAGGCTATAGGCTAAGAATGCAAACACACTTGTCGTACAATAGTTTAAGGGAAAGGAATGGAAAACGTGATCTGATCAATACAGATTATAACCTGCACAACAATCCAAAAGGTTGTAATTTAGACCTAGATGACGTGGGGGACTGCAGGTTATTTTTGCTAAAATCTGTCTCATATTTTTTTTTTTTTTATAATGCAATTTGTGCGCTCTCCCTGATCAAAAAAATACATTAAAAACAAAGCAAGAGTGAGTCTCACATGAGTGTACTGAGTCGCCAATTCTAACAATCCAGCTACTGTGAACCTAAAAGACATACCTCCCTTTCACCATTTCTATTGCCTTTTAAGTACAAAATTTTATGCCATCTCAGACTCCAATAAAGCATATCCAACGCAGTCAAAACACTCTGAATAATTGAACTAACTGTAAGTGAGGGGGCCGGCCTGTGTTTAGAGAAATTACCAGACACCAACTCCGAGTGCAGTGCTTCTAACTACATGGTTCAGCAACATGTTTAGATCTCAATCTGCACAGTGGCATTCTAATCATGGTCGGACACACACATCCAGACTGACCTCACACGCTCAGCACTCGCCCTGCCGCAGAGCTAGCCCACCCCATGGCAACCACAGTGCACCGCCCGCCTGTGTGGCACCGGCAGCAGGGTGGCACAGCCTGGTGGATTTGCGGCCTGCCCAGAACCATGTGCCCACAAGCTGGCTTCAAACACACAAATAATTCCGCATTATGCAAACATTTTACACATCGGACAATTACCATTAGAGCTGTGATGGTGCCATAAAGAGGTGGCGTGATCAAAGATGGTGGACCTTTTATCAGCGAACCTTCCTCTTTGATGCCATTTCAGCTGCGCAAGTTGTGTGTAATTTCTGTAGATCAGCCTGGATGCTGGGTGCACAGTAGATAAATCCTGCTGTTACTGACAAACCCTTTGTCAAGAACTGGAGATGGGCTCTTGACATTTTGTCCCACAAGCTTTAATTAAAGGGGATTAAATCCAGAGGATGGATTTTCCCTGCAGGGCTCATATTATGCTATTTTCTGATCTCTGTTATAATGCAGTTTCCTTATCACAAACATACTCAGAACTGTGTTTTGTTTCAATCACACATGTTTAACACACAAAATCTGCACCTTTAGGCTGAGTACTTCTCTCAAACAGAAAAAACAAAACAAACAAAAAAACATGTTCCACGTTTTGATGCTAAAACAGGCGGTGGCTCCACTGTGTTTTTATAACTCCAGACACTTTGACTAGAATCCTTTTGGATAATTTCAACCCTGAAATTTCCTATCTTTAAGGTGAATTAACCACAGCTCCGTGACATCATTAGGTGGCAAAGAGCATTCTGACTTTTGGACATGCAGACAAACTAATAATAAAGTGCAACTCAAACATGTGTGAATGAAATAAAACACATTTCCAAGCATCTTCTATGTACAACATTCTAACATGACACTCACAAGAGTCAATTTTGCCTTCAAAGGGCACATATTATGCAAAATCAACTTTAATAAGCTTTATTACAACGGTGTTAGCTCATCATTAGAGCTGCATTTTGAGTAATCTCATTGTCCTACATTCAAGGCTTGAGTGCTTAGAAAATTTCTGTTTTCACTTACCTCTTATTCCCGCCCACATTATTACTATTAAACCGTTTTAGATCAATATTGCAGTTTACAAGACCAAAATGTAAAATGATGTTCAACTTAAAACCTGAAAAAGCATAAGCCTATATCTTCTTTGACCTCGAAATAAAACGTAAAAAAAATTTTATTTAATGTCGTCTTTGCAGCCTAAGTTTAATTGACTAAAGTTATGTTAACCCACAGCCGATCAAGTCTGTCTTAAATCATTGCCTCTTTATCTTGTAGCATTTGAACTGTCTTTATATCACACATGCAAAGAAAAAGTAATGCTCAGTAATGAAGTTGCTGCTTTGGTGTTCCCATGCAACTCCACAGCCACTGTCAAAACTGCTTTTCCAATTTTACTTAACTTTACCACCACAGCCAAATAAATAACTTTTGACAACTCTAAATTACACTGGCGATTACACTTGTCACCTTTTTAATACCTATTTATTTACTTAATTGAAGCCTACGTTTAATTATCAATGGCAAGCCCAACTCAAAGATGCAGTTGAAAGGTCCACATTAAGTCCAGTCGTAATGTAACGGTGCACTGCCCTCTACTGATGCTAAATGCAACATGCCCTCTGAGCCTACAACACAATCATAAAAAAGCACCAAGGTTTTTCTCTTAGAATGTTTTAGCACTTTTAGTTCATTGCAGACAGGGAAAAACCTTCAACATTGCATTCTTCGAGATAAGATGATTCACACAGTCAGTGAGTGAGTAGTGTCGTGCTTTATCTATTTTGCTTCTTGCCAAGATATCAGTAACGTCAACAAATATATTCCCTTTTCAGAGGTCACAGAAGAAGGCATGGTTTCCTAAGCTGAAGTAAATGAATAGGCACCATGATATTTTCAAGGAAAGGCACAACTTTTTTACACTTTACCTCTGCTTATTGAGTATGAATACTTTTGTAGATATCTTTTGGTCAAAATGTCCCAATGCCTGGAGGGGTGAGAGAGGGTGGAATGTGTGCCTTTGATGTGCAGTCCCTAATCACTTCCTGCAGATTATACAGTACGTGCACCTCCGCACTGCCCGCTGTCTCCAGTACTGCTCTGGCCCCAGGGCTCATGGGAGGCTTCGGTGTGTCCAGCCTGATCACAGACACAGATAAGGCCCAAAAAGTAGCATGATGTCAACAAATGGGGATAACAACAGCAGTCATCAGTGCAAATAAACAGGCTATATTGTGATAATTGTTTATCATTTTTACATGGACTTTAGCTGAATATAATGTACAATTTAGACTATGCATGATAGTGAAACTGGATTTTAGCCTTGCAGAGGAAACAAATACCCAAAACAGACCTGGGTGTAGACCAAACTGACTGAGGATGCATAAGGGTTTCAGAGGGGTGCAAAAGTAATACCCTTCACTTAAGTGTCATAATTTCTGTATCTAAGATGAGGGTGCAAACTATTTTAAATGAGGGTGCAATGCACTCCTTTGCACCCTTGAAGACCTGATCCAAAAATTTTACAGACCCTCAGTAATATAATAATAAATAGAACATTGACAGTAATAAATCATCATTGTCACCTGTAAGTGATAATATGTGATGTTGAACAACTCAAATTGCAGCTTTTTGACAGCTTTATATAGGCTACCTAAGTCTAATGGATTTACCGAAATGATAGAAAAAAGACATGTTAGTCACTGTGACAGATGAAAGGGTTGAAATGGATCCAGGTCCATAGTGTTAATAAGAACTATAAGAGCCTTTTATTAATCATAATTATTATTTTTTTTTATGAACAATGATAGTGGGGAGATATCATAACAAAATGAAACAGGTTTGTTCTTAACATCTATAATAAGTAAAAAATATATAACTTTTATTAATGCCTCCAAAAAGTGATCACGGGCGTCTTTTCCTTTACTAACTCATGCGATCTACTTCAGTGGAACTTCAAAGCCTTGGATGCACAAAGATAATCAGTAAAGGTTTCATGAAGAATTACAATAAGTATTTATTCTATTTATAGAACTGAATACTTCGGTACTAAGCTGAATTTCTTCTGAGGCCATATGGGATCTTTGTAGTTATTTTAAGCATATGTCCAATTTGGGTAAAGTGATTCTTTTGGGGAACTTTTTTTTTTTTTTTTAATGAGTCGTTTATTTATTCGTTCATTCATTAGTTCGTTTATTGGTTCTTTCTCTACCCTCAGACTGACAGAGGAGTTGCTTTCTTTAGCTCCTGATTCAGGAACTGACCCCGTTAGTCGTTGGTCCACGGAAACTTTTTGGTGCTGCACGTGGAGGGGTGCCACGCTTTTAATAGATCCACGGTTTAACACCGGGGGAGTAACACGGGGGTTTTATCATGGCCAAAGTGAGCAGCGGCTCCTCGAGTTGTCGGGTGATGGTCATTGCGGGGAAGTACCTGTCGAGCCCAGGTCCTCTGGCGTTAACCCGGACATCTGGCTCCCGGCAGCGAGACTTGTCCGGAGCTCAGCGGCGACGGGCGAGCTCCGACACCGCGGGGAGCAAAAAAACTACGGCCTCAGGGCACGAACCGCTGGGGCTATTTTCAGCCACAGACCGACACCTGCCGGCCAAACGGAATCTCATTTACCGGGACGTCAAAGCCTTCCTCAGTGAAGTCGGGGGGGACCCGCGGGAGGCCCGGTACTGGCTGACCCAGTTCCAGAGAGCCTCGTCGTCTCAGTCTCCTGCCTTTGCCGTGCTGGAGGTGAATCTGAGTTAGAAGTTATGGAAGTTTATGCTCAAATTCTGTACCTCAACTTTGAAATGGTTTGGTTTTGTGTTTTGCCTCTAGGTGACGCTAGAGGAGTTTGAGTATTGTGAGTTGGCATTGTGTCTTTGGGTGCACTCAAACGAAATTCACCTGAATATATCATCATCATCACAACATGTTATTTATTTATTTATTTGCATGCTAAAATATGCCATTGTAGGTCCATAAAGAGCACTATTAATTCTAAAAAGGACTGACCCATCATCATGCTATGTTAGGCAAATGATTCTGGGGAACTAATTCTCTAATCATCTCGTGTCACGCCTATATCTACTCTAACACAATCGGACCTTTGTTTGCAGGTGGACAGCTCTGTGTTTGAGCGCAGAGACATGGTCCAGAGCCTGGCGTTTGGACTGTCCTTTCTGCAGCGGATGGACATGAAACCGGTGGTGGTGATGGGATGGTCTGGCTGTTGGGACAGTGACCCTCAAAGCAGCAGGACTCTTGTGGAGCACAGCCAGCAGCTCACAGAGGCTCTTCACCTGCACTCAGCCTCTGTCCTGCCCTTCTTCTCTGCACAAACCATCCTACTACAGCGAGGAGCCCAGTGAGCAAAGCACCTTCACAACAAACATCTCACTTACACAGAAAACATCTAGATACACTGATGAAGTATAAACGATAGTAGTGAAAATAATTTATGCCACTGAGACAAAAACTCAAGAGCAGATTTACACCACAAAAACAATTTTAAATGAAAAATATGATTAAAGAGTCATATGCTGCAATAAAAAAACAGCAGAAAGAAACACTTCACTACTGCATCTGAAAAAGAGTCATAGAAGTTATCAATTCAACCCTTTAAATCTTAGCCTGTAGCCCAAAAATAACCAAAAATAGCCCTGTAGTGCAAAGAAAATGTTCAAATGGTAAATATCGACCCCCAGTTTTTTTTCCAGCTTTCACATATTGGACAATAAGTCGATATTGTATGAGATGCTTTTAGGCTTGTCACGATAATTAGTATTGCACAAGACTAGGTATTTTCGATATGCGTCTTACTGACGATATTTGGCTATATTAAAGAATTTAAAAACAATTGCAGTGCCCACTAATTCAAGTCAAGACCTTAATGCTTAGTCATTTCCACTGATAACAATGATGCCTTTGTGCTTAAATCATTTCTGTTTACAGAGATGATATTATGGCATCCACAAGCCATTTTTAATCTGAAGATACTGCTCTATAACTTCTCCCACTGGGCACTCCAAATGTGTTTTGTAATATATTCATCATATAAAGTCATTACAAAACTCAGCTCAATATTAGAAGGTGTTTTGAGCCAACATTGGCCAGTAAATCTTATTACCCCATTTTATATGCCAAAATGGGCTATCAACTGAACCAATAAACCAATAAAAATGTTCAGTGTATGTGCAGGTAACAGTATTGTATCGGTCCCTAAATGTAGCAGCATACAATAGGTAGATATTTACACCATTTACAATACAGACAGATCAGCAGAGACACACATGAGTAGAGCTACATCTGCCCAACAATGGAGACCGGACGCTAGCGAAGGCAGTGAAAGGAGAGTTTAATTGTATTTAAAGTGTACATTTAAGTTTCGGTTTCTGGGTGTGGTCGGACAAACCAGTTTGACCAAATGTACTTTTCCAAATGGGGAGTAATGCAGTCCCCTCTTGCTGCTCCTCTGGTTCTGCTGTGACTGGGCCTTGTAATATGGATAAATTAAGAGGTGGAGGTGAAAGATCATGAATAACTTTTGGTAAGGCAGTAATCTGTGTTTGTGTAGTATTGGACAATGGTGAGAGTGCTTTTTTGTCCAGGAATTTACACTGTGTTTGTCAAGTATTTGCAGAGGTTTCAGAAACTTTTATTGATGTAGCCAGTGACCTCTCCCGTTAGCGAATATAAATTCGTACCTTTCAGACCAGTAACTTCAGAGTGACAATGGCTTCTGGATGCCATCCATCTTCTCTGGAAGCAGAAATTATTGAATAAAGGAAGGTTTTTTTGTTTTTTTTTTTAATTAATATTGTTATTTCTACCAATTTTCAACTAAATGCCCTGTCCTTAAAAACCCACACTCACACACGTTGTTTTGTGCTTCAGATCTCCACCAGCCATTGCTGTGGACACGAGCCTTCTGCAGTGGAGTCTGGACTGTGGGCTCATCCCCATAGTGTGCCCAGTGGGGAGAGACGAGCAGCAGCACTCTATCATGATGGACTCAACTGAAGTGACCGCAGCTATCTCCAGAGCTCTGCAGCCACACAAAGTCATGTTTCTCAACAAGTGTGGAGGGCTACGGTGCCACCAACACAAGGTACCACTACGGATGGCTATCATGAAAGCTTTATTGCTACTCTTGATCCGGTATTTTAATGATACTCTTATCTGTACAAAGCGAAATGAGCCAAACTAATTGACACATGATTTCATATGGCCCCATGACATTGCAGTGACCAGCTTCTCAAATGGACTAATGAGTGCTCTCTTTGTCTATTCCTTGTGTGATCACAGAGGAGCCTACAGTTTGTGTTCTGCAAAGTTTGGTGAAATAATGTTTAAGATTGTGTCGCAGCGGGTGCATGTGGCCCGACATTAGTTGCACAAATGTTATGTAGACAAATGCACGTATCAGAGTATGTGAGTTTAACACTAAATACCAAGTGAAAAGCAAAGTATGCATTATGCTATCCTTTTAATAAATGAAAAGTGAACTGACTGTTCTGAGTGAGTCTTGAAAAGGATGCGTGCACTGAAGTGTTTGTGTGCAGGTGTTGGGCTCAGTGTCTCTGCCCGGGGACCTCCCAGCGCTCTCCACTGCAGAATGGCTGATGGACGTGGAGCGGCGCAGGGTCACATCTATAGCCACACTACTTAATCATCTGCCCAGCGAGTCGTCTGCGGTCATCACATCTGCAGACACACTGCTGACCGAGCTGTTCAGCCACAAAGGTCTTTCTAAAAGACTTTCATGGGACTTTCTAAAAGTTATAAACATTATGCTCCCGGGTGTGACAGAGGCACATTTAATGAAGTTATATTAAATTAACATTAAAATGCTTTTGAATGATGCATTTCAGTACATTATGTTTTAAAAATTATTAGTGTAGCTTTAATAGACTGTGCAGTATGTGCTGTAAAGAAATAAAATATATTGAATACAGGCAAATTGGGCTTTTCTGATTTATATTTATGGGTGTATTTAATATTGTCTGTTCTTCTTTCTCAGGATCAGGAACACTGTTTAAAAATGGAGACCCTATACACAGGTAAGGGTTTGTATAAAATCCAAAGTTATCTTCTCTGAGCAGTCAAAATGCTCCATTAGCATTTTGACTGGATTGTTGTGTCACATTTAAAATTCAGGACCTCTTATGCCCATAAACAATCTCCAAATTGTTCACAAAACACATGGCTCCATCAGCTTAGCATTTTTTAAAACCAATTTTAATTGCATCTTATGTGTAGTTTGATGACAATAATTCTTTCAGTGCAACCCAGCTGCCTGCTCATTCACACTGTTCAGCTCCACACTTGCTCATACATGCATGACATTCAAAGGCATCAAGTTCTGAATTAAAACATGATTTAATTTTTTCAAATGTTTTTCCAAATAATTATTTATGATCACCTCTGCTCATTCCTGTCCATGCACTCTCCCCCTGTCCCACTGCAGAGCATCGGGTGAGTGAAGGCACTTGATTTGTCTGTTATTAATGTTGATATCTTCATTTACGGACAAAATAAAAGTAATCAGGATCATATAGAGCAGGTTAATACAAACATTTTAAGGCTCAGTTACAGAGAAAGGGGTGACAATTTTTTAGTGAAAAGTTAATTGAAACCAAAGTCGAAGGAGTAGAATCTCCATGATCTACAAGCATGGGCCAAGAGCTGGAGCGACTGCATTCACCTCTGCTGCGTGTGCAGCAGCAATTGGACCCGACAACTCGCTGACTGGCTTAAAGAGGCAGTAACAGTGAACAGTAAAAGTGTCAGTCTCAGGTTTTTTTTTTTAAACTACACATAGGACCTTTAATTTAATTGTTAGCCAACTTTTAGATGAAAGTTTTTGAAGTGAGAGACTGTTGCACATTTTGTAATTTTGCATCTGTTGTGTTTGTCCAGGTACACTTCGTTGGATGAAATTGATGTGGAACGTTTGCTGGTACTCATCAACAAGTCATTTGAAAAAACATTAAACCAAGATTATATCGCGTCATTGAAAGGACGTCTGCATACAGTCTATCTCTCGGAAGGGTGTGTAGAATCACTGCTTTGTCTTCATTCTTTCTGTATACTGCTCATAATGCATTGTAACAGCAAAAAGTTATCTAAACAACATTATAGACTGACCAGTGTACTGAACCTGTATTTTGTATTTCAATCTATGAAGAGTCTCTACTAAGACAATCTAGCAGCCTCACATTGCAGGTGCTTCCTATGAGCCAGACCCGATTTTGGGTGAGATTTGCTTCTCCCTGAGCTTGGAGAGGCGTGACCCGACTTTGTGTCCTTGTGTTGTTGATGTAGAGGGAAGCTAGGTCTGCGCTGTGCCTCCTGAAAAGTTGATGATGATCTCTTTGGTTTTCTTGGTATTCAACACTAGATTGTTCTGTACACCAGACTGCCAACTTCAGGACTCGTCACCCTTTGAGATGACCCCAAGAACTGTTGTATCAACAGCAAACTTCACAATGAGGTTGCTGTTGTTGGCAGGACTGCAGTCATTGGAGACAGTTAAGTATAGGAGGGGGCTCAGCATACAGCCCTGTGGGAGCTGGTGCCAGCATGTTGATAATAATCTCATCTATCATCATGAAACCATGCTTTCTGTTGTCATATTTTCAGAGAGAGACTCTGTTTCCACTGCTCCTGAGGACATGCCCCAGTGCTATTGAAGGATGGGTCAGGTGCAGAGGACAAATTTCCCTATGGGGACAATACAGTGTAACTTAACCTTTGTTGTAAAAATGAATTTGTAAAAATAAATAAATTAATTAATTTATAAAATATGACTTTTTATGTAGGCTGTGCAATAAGTGTTTGATAATATTACTTTGAAATTATTTTCTGGCAGATGTTTTAAACCTGTACTAACCTTTATATCTGTATTGCCTGAAGATAATTTATAGGAAACTGATACACTGGACACTGGCACAAAGCAAGTAACAAAAACAAACAGGTTTAGGAGAGGCTTTCAGAGGGTGGCTTTGGGTACAGGGAAACAGCACAACAGTACTATTCAGACACACCCAGCCCAGTGGATTGTACTCACTCCAAGGTAAGAGAATTAAAAAATAATTATAATAATACTTTTATCTCTATCTCTGTTAAGGTCTGTTAACTACTACTTTTACTTACATTTAACTTGTATTCAGACTGTTTTCTCAAAATGCATTTGTTCTCACATCAGGGACATAAAGATCACCCCTTAAAAGTAAAAAAATATATAATAATCAAAAATAAAATCTTCAGTAAGATCAAATATTAAATAAAATATAGGTTAATGTAATGTTTTAGATTAATGTTAATATTTAATGTTAATGTTTTTGTTTTGTTTTTTGTTTGTTTTTTGTTTTGTTTTGTTTTTCACATTTTTCACAAATGTGTCAATTTTGGCCATTACATTACACAAAAAGAGCAAAAATATACTATACTATTCTTGGGTTATATAAGTTTCCGTATGATATATTAGGACCATTGCCAAGTGATTAACAATTTCAAACAAATAATTATATATTTTGAATAGGAATAAGACAAAATATTGCAAATAAGAGGAGCCTGTGTAATTTACAAATATTCATATGATTCGTAAAATCAGACTTCTCAAAATACAAATTGATTAGTCATCCCTATCACAGATCTGTTATGGCGGTTGCTCAATATGATCAGAATGTTCTGAACCTGACAGAGAACAATGGGAACAAATGTTAAAGAGATTAAGAGGAAAATTGCGCAAAGAATTTATGTCCGTTTATGTTCCTCCTGTATAGCAGGAAATATAATTCACAGAAGGAGCTGCAGCATAGTTTAAAGTAGGCGGAGCTGCGTGTACGTTAAAATTTCAAAGTTTCAATTCACACCAGAGCGTCAGAGACGCTCCTGTTACGCAATCTGCACATCTTCTCACTGTTTTGAGACATCACATTTTGTACTTGCTTTTTATCATTTATTTTATGTTAAAGTGTATTAAGTTAGAATGTGTATTAAGTGTATTATAAATTAAGTGTACAACTGCAACGCATTTGCGTTTAATGAGGTTTAAATCTATTAGCACGCACATTAAACACCTCAGTTTTTTCCCTTAATAAGGTAAAATCACGTATAATTAACATACATTATGAGTGTGATTAAAATCATATGTCCGTCCAGGTAATAAAACCTATACGTTTATATGTTGATCCAGAGTCCTGCACCGATGAATACGGGAAAATAGTCGCTGAAACGGGCGACTTTTAACGTTCTGGAATTTTAAGGGCGGGTCAGGACTAATTCAGGTCTAAACCAGGTCTAAACCATGACTAAACCCGGACTAAATCAGGTCTAAACCAGGTCTAATCTTGGAGAGAGAGAGAGATAGCGAACCCTGAGCCCCGCGGAGCAGGTGTCCGAAAAGCGTGACGGCTGCACGTACCTCTTCTCCAAGCTCTGCACCGGTCCTTTCGCCCGCGGACACTCGGGGCTACACGGAAGGACGTCCGAGCACATTTCGACATTGAGTCCTGGTTTAGTCCTGGTTTAGTCCTGGTTTAGTTCTGGTTTAGTCCTGGTTTAGTCCTGAGTCCTTGTAGAATTGGTGTCTGACATCGTAAATCACGTGCGCGTTGTTTACATCGCTGTCTTGACTTTGGTTAAATTATTTTGAAAGGGTATCGGAAGATTATTTTGTCACCGCGTGTTTATTTCCTGTCTTTCTCCTGCTAAAAACCTTGGAGACGCGCCACTGACGCTGCAAAATTAGAACTCCAACCTATCTCGAGCAGCGCGTCAGCGTCAGACGCTCGTTGGACGCGCGTATGACACAGTCGGTGTTACACTGTCAGACCGGTTAAAATGGAGTTCTAAAACAGCGCGTCTGCTGCTCATGTGCTGTGCTGCTGCGCTTATGCTCCGTTGCGCTTTGGTGTGAATTGGGGGTTAGTGAGTGTGACTAAAACAGCTGATGACTTCAATATAATTTGAGACTTTTAATGTACACATCAGCTCACCTACTGCTTGGCCCAACTGTGCTAGCTTCAAGAATGTTGATGATATTATGTAAAAGGGAACCTATCTGAATTGCCCACAGGCTGTAGATATAACTGGATTGTTTCTAACAGTCACTGTAATAGTTAATAAATAATCTACTTTTGTTTACCTCTGGAAGAACAGAACTGTTGAGTCTGACAGTCAATATTTTTTGTCCACAGATGACCAGCTCTACAAATATTAAACTGATGCTCAGTGCCGTCATCTTCATGTCCTTCTACTTATTTTTAACAAGCAGATTTTCAGCCTTTATGATTTCTCAACACTCTCAGAAGGGGGAGCTTGTGCCTGCGCCTGTATGGACACCCCGGTAAGCTCTCGGTTATGTTATCAACACCTTATTTACTGTTTATACTGTTAAGGGCCGTTCACACCAAAGCGTCAAAAAACGCCTTGACGCCTCTATGTGGACGCCTTTGCATTTGAGTTTAGACGCCCCCGACGCGCATCTTTGACGCCGTGGACGAACGGGACAAAAAGACTTGACGCGCGTCCGTTGCCCTGGAAACAAGAGCCCGGTCCCGCTCTTTTCCCGAAACAATGTCAGACCAGACTGAGAGAGTGTTTTTATGACATAAAACATCAACGGAGGAGATCGGGTCGACGACTGGGGCGTATATATATTTATACTCCGTTAATGACACTGGCTCAGTCCCGGTCTAGTCCTGGTCTAATACCGGTCTGGTCCTGGTCTAATCACGGTCTAGTCCCGGTCTAGTCCTGGTCTAATCACGGTCTAGTCCCGGTCTAGTCCTTGTTTAGTCCCGGTCTAGTCCTGGTTTGGTCCTGGTCCGGTCCTGTTTGTGGTTCTCGCTCTGGTTCTCGGGTCATGCTTCTTGATAATAACGTCGCTGCGTCTCTGGATACTCGTCCCTGATTGGTTGACGCGGCGCGTCTGACGCGAAAAGTTCAGCATTTTCAACTTCTTGACGCTGACGCCTTGGACGCGCGTCTTGGCCGATGACGCCAAAACGCTGAAGACGCGCCGCGCTGACGCCAGATTCGCGCCGGGCTGACGCTGAAGACGCGCCGCTTTAAGGGCGTCAGCGTCAAGAATTTGAAAATGCTGAACTTTTCGCGTTAGGCGCGCCGCGTCAACCAATCAGGGACGAGTATCCAGTGACGCAGCGACGTTATTATCAGGAAGCAAGACCCGAGAACCAGAACGAGAACCACAAACACGAGCGGAGAATAAATATATACGCCACAATCACCGAGCCGATCGCGAGGACTACACCAGGAACCGGACCAGGACCAAACCAGGACTAGACCGGGACTGATCCAGTGTCATTAGTGGAGTATAAATATATATACGCCCCAGTCGTCGACCCGATCTCCTCCGCTGATGTTTTACGTCATAAAAACACTCTCTCAGTCTGGTCTGACATTGTTTCGGGAAAAGACCGGGACCGGGCTCTTGTTTCCAGGGCAACGGACGCGCGTCAAGTCTTTTTGTCCCGTTCGTCCACGGCGTCAAAGACGCGCGTCAAGGGCGTCTAAACTCAAATGCAAAGGCGTCCAAATAGAGGCGTCAAGGCGTTTTTTGACGCTTTGGTGTGAACGGCCCTATTAATATTATGCACCCGGGTGAGGGCAGGTATAAAGCAAATTATAACATTTAAAGTAATTTAGGATGACATTGCTTTTCCTAAATGAAGAGCAATGTCATCCCAGGAAACTCCCTCACTAAGGCAACACAGGTTCTTTTGGCAGAAGGACAGAAAGAGGATGTTTCTTTAACAGCTGATTTATTTAACAATTAAATATTACCGAGTTTCACATCCACAGTGAGTTCGTTGAGCAAGTTTCATACAGCGTGGCCATCAAGAAACTATACATTTCACAGTTCATAACATTTAAATCACGGTGGGCTGAATCGGGTAGGATTTTGCAGTCATAATGGACATTCTCACAACAGGACGCACAGGACACTGGTCCATAAAAAGGGGAGGCTTGTTTTGCATGTTAACAGGTTCTAAAATATTAAAATAAAATGTTCACCCTCACCCAGCTCCAGAGGTTTGGGAGAGTTCTGCGCAGTATCTGGATATAGCCTATCCGTTGTTTTTCCTGGTTTCTGCTGTAGTCACTCTTCCAGTTTTGGGGTTACGGTCCAGTCAAGTTTTTTTTTTTTTTTTTTTTTTTTTTTTTAACACAGGTGTCCTCTTTGTGCAGGTATAAGACAAATACAAAGTCATGTGCCGCGGTTTGTTTGTCAAGGCTACAGGATATGTGATGCACGCACATTGTTGGGGAGTAACAGATTACATGTACCAGAGTTACGTAATCAGAGTACAAATTATGAGTAACTGTATTCAGTTACAGTTACTGTTTCAGTGAGAGGTAATTTTATTACAGTTTCTTAGTTGAAATAAGTGGATTACACGGCAGTATTTTCCTGTTTTCACATTTCGGGCTATATCCCTTTTTTTTTTTTTTTTTTCAGTAATTCCACTCATTGCCGGACACTAAACCAGGTCTAAACCAGGTCTAAACCAGGACTTAACTGGATTAAATCATGCTCTTCTATCAATAATATTTTTAATTTGGTTAAGTAAAGACTCTGCTTTTTTATTGCTTTTAGCAGACAAAACATCTTATGTGAAGATTTCCTCTTCTTTGCTTCTCTACAGTAAATCAAGTAATCCAAAGTATTCAGATTACGTTACTCACTTTAAGTAATTTAATGGATTACATTACAAACTACATTTTGGGGTATGTAATCTGTAATTTGTAGGGGAATACATTTTAAAAGTAACCTTCTCAACACTGCCCATGCATTAGCCTCCATTAAGAGCAAAGGGAGGGGTGAAACCTGGAGTCAGCGATGTGGTTAACGTAGGGGAAAATGTATGGTGTAAAGTTTCTTTAGATTTCTACACATTAGGGCTGGACCGGCCATATCCAGCTTGTCTAAGCCTTATCTCGTCAGATCTCAGAAGTTAAACAAGGCCGAGCCTGGTTAGACCTATTATTATTATAATTATTATAATTATTATAATTATTATTATAATTATTATAATTATTATAATTAAATAATAATAATAATAATAATAATAATAATAATAATAATTAATTAATTATTATTATTATTATTATTATTATTATTATTATTATTATTAAACAGAGATAATTCGAGCAGGAGTTACGTCTGTATACGCATCAATCTGGAGAAAATAAAAACGAGAGAAACAGGGTTAGTGCAGAATACTGTGTGGACCTGATCTGCCGTGCTCAGGTGACGTAATTGGTTGGGAACTGTCCCTGGTCAGCTCAGCACTGGTGGGACATGTCCAGATGGTACAGTTCAGTGTGGTGTTATAGACTCCCTGCCAGTGCATTAAAATAGTGTAACCCCAGTCTACCCTTGTTTGCTAAAGTACTGGAAAAATTTGTTTATGCAAGAAGATCTAAACCAGGGGTGCCCACACTTTTTCAGCATGCGAGCTACTTATAAAATGTCCAAGTCAAAATGATCGACCGACTACAACGCCAAGTAAACTGTACTGGACTTAAGAAAACTTTCAATAGCACTTTACAGAAAACTGAAAAAAGTGAAGACAGTAATTAGACTGGAGTTACATGGTTAGTACTAGTTTTACAGTGGGATTTAGCCTCTGCACATTTACCAAACCAAACACACGTCGTGACAAATACGAATGTATTTGTGCACATTTATTAGGCAAACTTCAGCCACATGTCGCGGTAGGTCTGCTCTGCGCTATTGGCATCCTCTGTGCCAATACTAACATAAATTTAGATTAGTTTTTGCTTCGCGTTTTGTCTTGTCCTTCTAATCTGCGCGCATTGTGGAAAGAGTCTGTGTGCGCTTTACGCGGGGAAGAGCGAGAGCGTGAAAAGGCGAGGAGCGGTGCGCTGACGTGAGGCAGATGGAAAGGTAGGATGTTTTAAAAAAGTTGAACCGGCTCTGTGATACACGCTGGTACACAAAAACACACACTGTTGCAGACAAGCCGCGTGCAGGGAGCGTGTGTGATTGTGATGTGCCGCATCGCACAGTATCCACGTGTTCCAAATGACACACAGGCTACAGAGAGACGCTCCGTACGCTCCCGCACCCTGGTACAAGTTTATTGCCAACAGCAGCGGCCGTAATATGATCGAACTTGTCCAGTGTCAGACCTCGGATGAGAGACAAGACCGAGGCCAAATGTGATCGAGTCCGAGACGAGTACTAGGACACTGCGATCTACCCACACGACCTTGGCGATCAAGTGGTAGATCACGATCGACTTATTGGGCAAAATGTTTAGATTCTAAACATTTTTCAGAAAATGATATTTTTTATGACCATCAGTATGGCTTCAGAGAAAACATGTTGGTATCCCCTCCGCAAGTCTGCATCTATTTTGACCTGGTATCCCCAATATGGAGGAGCAAGAAGTTAAACTAAAGGCAGGAGAACTGAAAAGACAAACACACACCGGTAAGAGTGAGGTGTGGAAAAGCTTCAAATTCCATCCATCCATCCATCCATCCATTTTCGTCCGCTTATCCGGGGCCGGGTCGCGGGGGGAGCAGCCTAAGCAGGGACTCCCAGACTTCCTTCACCCCAGACACGTCCTCCACCTCCTCCGGGGGGACCCCGAGGCGTTCCCAGGCCAGCCGAGAGACATAGTCCCTCCAGCGTGTCCTGGGTCTTCCCCGGGGCCTCCTCCCGGCGGGACATGCCCGGAACACCTCCCGAGGGAGGCGCCCAGGAGGCATCCGGAACAGATGCCCGAGCCACCTCAACTGGCTCCTCTCGACGACGTGAGGGAGGAGCAGCGGCTCTACTCCGAGCTCCTCCCGTGTGACTGAGCTCCTCACCTTATCTCTAAGGGAGCGCCCAGCCACCCTGTGGAGGAAACTCATTTTGAGCGCTTGTATCCGCGATCTCGTCCTTTCGGTCACTACCCAGAGCTCATGACCATAGGTGAGAGTAGGAACGAAGACTGACCGGTAAATCGAGAGCTTCGCCTTTCGACTCAGCTCCCTCTTCACCACAACGGTCCGATACAGCGACCGCATCACTGCCGAAGCTGCACCGATCCGCCTGTCAATCTCCCGTTCCGTCCTTCCCTCACTCGTGAACAAGACCCCGAGATACTTGAACTCCTCCACTTGAGGCAAAGACTCTCCACCCACCCGGAGAGGGCAAGCCACCTTTTTCCGGTCGAGAACCATGGCCTCGGACTTGGAAGAGCTGATCTTCATCCCAGCCGCTTCACACTCGGCTGCAAACCGCCCCAGTGCACACTGCAGGTCCTGGCCCGATGAAGCCAACAGAACAACATCGTCCGCAAACAGCAGAGATGAAATCCTGTGGTCCCCGAACCGGACCCCCTCCGGCCCCTGACTGCGCCTAGAAATTCTGTCCATAAATACAATGAACAGAACCGGTGACAAAGGGCAGCCCTGGCGGAGTCCAACATGCACCGGGAACAGGTCTGACTTACTGCCGGCAATGCGAACACAGCTCCTGCTCCAGTCATACAGGGACCGGACAGCCCTTAGCAAAGGGCCCCGGACCCCATACTCCCAGAGCACCCCCCACAGGACACCACGAGGGACACGGTCAAATGCCTTCTCCAGATCCACAAAACACATGTGGACTGGTTGGGCAAACTCCCATGAACCCTCGAGCACCCTATGGAGAGTGTAGAGCTGGTCCAGTGTTCCACGGCCAGGACGAAAACCACACTGCTCTTCCTGGATCTGAGGTTCGACTATTGGCCGGATTCTCCTCTCCAGTACCCTGGCATAGACCTTACCGGGAAGGCTGAGAAGTGTGATCCCCCTATAGTTGGAACACACCCTCCGGTCCCCCTTCTTATACAGAGGGACCACCACCCCGGTTTGCCAGTCCAGAGGTACTGTCCCCGACCGCCACGCGATGTTGAAGAGGCGTGTCAGCCAAGACAGCCCCACAACATCCAGAGACTTCAGGTACTCAGGACGGATCTCATCCAACCCCGGAGCCTTGCCACCAAGGAGCTTGCCAACCACCTCAGTGACTTCGGCCAGGGTGATGGATGAGTCCGCCTCCGAGTCCCCAGCCTCGGCCTCCTCCTCGGAGGACGTGACAGTGGGATTGAGGAGATCCTCAAAGTATTCCTTCCACCGCCGGACAACGTCCCCAGTCGAGGTCAGCAGCTCTCCCCCCGCACTGTAAACAGTGTTGGTGAAGAACTGCTTTCCCCTCCTGAGGCGCCGGACGGTTTGCCAGAATCTCTTTGAGGCCGTCCGATAGTCCTTCTCCATGGCCTCCCCGAACTCCTCCCAGCTCTGAGTTTTTGCCTCCGCGACCACACGGGCTGCAGCACGCTTGGCCCGCCGGTACCCGTCAGCTGCCTCAGGAGTCCCCCGAGCCAGCAAGGCCCGATAGGACTCCTTCTTCAGCTTGACAGCATCCCTTACTTCCGGTGTCCACCACCGGGTTCTGGGGTTGCCGCCGCGACAGGCACCACAGACCTTACGCCCACAGCTCCGAGCAGCTGCATTGACAATAGAGGCCGAGAATGAAGCCCACTCGGACTCCATATCTCCGGCCTCCCCTGGAATCCGGGAGAAGTCCTCCCGGAGGTGCGAGTTGAATGTCCCTCTGACAGAGGGCTCCGCCAGACGTTCCCAACAGACCCTCACTACACGCTTGGGCCTGCCAGGTCTTTCCGGCTTCCTCCTCCGCCAGCGAACCCAACTCACAACCAGGTGGTGATCAGTTGACAGCTCAGCCCCTCTCTTCACCCGAGTGTCCAAGACACGCGGCCGGAGATCAGATGACACGACGACAAAGTCGATCATCGACCTCCGGCCTAGGGTGTCCTGGTGCCACGTGCACTTATGGACACCCTTGTGCTCGAACATGGTGTTCGTTATTGACAAACTGTGACTAGCACAGAAGTCCAATAACAAAACACCGCTCGGGTTCAGATCGGGGAGGCCGTTCCTCCCAATCACCCCTCTCCAAGTGTCACTGTCGTTGCCCACGTGGGCGTTGAAGTCCCCCAGGAGAACAACGGAGTCCCCGGTCGGTGCACTGTCTAGTACCCCTCCCAAGGACTCCAAGAAGGCCGGGTACTCAGCACTGCTGTTCGGCCCGTAGGCCGACACCACAGTGAGAGACCTGTCCCCGACCCGAAGGCGCAGGGACACGACCCTCTCGTTCACCGGGGTGAACTCCAACACACAGCGACTGAGCTGTGGGGCAATGAGCAGGCCCACACCAGCCCGCCGCCGCTCCCCGCGGCCAACACCAGAGAAATGGAGAGTCCAGCCCCTCTCAAGGAGTTGGGTTCCAGAGCCCAAACTGTGCGTGGAGGCGAGGCCGACTATATCTAGTCGGTAACGCTCAACCTCCCGCACAAGCTCAGGCTCCTTCCCCCCAGCGAGGTGACATTCCATGTCCCCAGAGCTAGTCTCCATGTCCGGAGATCTGGTCGCCGAGGCCCCGCCCGTCGACTGCTGCCCAGATCTCTCTGCACCGGCCCCATATGGATCCTCCTGCGGGTGGTGGGCCCACGTGAGGACGGCCCCACGTCGCTCCTTCGGGCTGAGCCCGGCCGAGCCCCGTGGGGGGAGGCTCGGCCACCAGGCGCTCGCTGACGAGCACCCACCCCAGGCCTGGCTCCAGGGTGAGGCCCCGGTGACGCCAATCCGGGCGACGTAACTGGCCTTGTTGGTACACTCATCATAGGGGCTTCTGAACCGTTCTTCGTCTGACCCGTCCCCCCGGACCTGTTTGCCTTGGGTGACCCTACCAGGGGCATGAAGCCCCCGACAACATAGCTCCTGGGATCATTCGGGCACTCAAACCCCTCCACCACGATAAGGTGACGGTTCAAATTGATTGTTGAAAATGCTACAGAAACTTGCGTTGGCTTCGCTGAATGTCGTCAATGTGGCGCTTTGCTTTCATACGAGAGCAAAAAGACTGGCACCTTGACGCTGAGCACTGCTCCTCCTCCCGAGTCCTCACAAATAAAATATGACATTTCGGGTTTGCTTCGGGCTCGGGCCTGCAAATCAAGTTAATTGGTCGGGCTCGGGCCGGGTCGGGTTTTAATACCCGCGGGCCGGGTCGGGTCGGGCTGGATTTTTTAGGCCCGATCTCACCTCTATTTGGTTTGTAAGACATATCTCAACAAGATTTTATTAATACAAAAGAAATTTTTTAAGAATTATGAATTATTCACACAGATTCTCTGTCTTATCTGCTCCTCTTTTCAGAAAATACAATATTCAGACAATATTTAATGTAAACATATATTGTATTTGTCTGTTCATGTATAAATATGTGCACTTGTCAAATGTTTTACCCAGATCTTTTGACAACTTTTTCATGCACTCGGATGTTCACACCTGTACTTCGAGACACTGCAGAGACTTTTATCTTTCATTGTGCAGAACATCTATAAATCAAAGAACACTCAGGTTCAGAGGACCAACCCTCTGGAATAATTTAGCAAATACTCCCAAATCAATTTCCTCACTGGATTATTTAAAAAACAATTGAGACAAACATTGATTTGTAATGCTATTTAATATTTGGACTACTGAAAGTCAACTTGCTTGTTCATGACTGTTGTGATAAAATCATGTTTATAGAGGAGGTGATCTTATAAGACTGATAAAGTCTTCTCATTCTCTCCTGCACAGTCATTTCTGTTTCTATTTGTTCAAAATGTTGTTTTTAATATGTGCAAATAAAATCTATCTATCTATAACCACTGCTTCTTGTGTTTACTTATCGTTTTTAGAAATGACCAACAGGTTATCTGTTCTGTCACTGCTATTGTTTGAAGTGCTGTGACCTGAAATTCAGTTTATATTGATCATCAGAGATCTGGGATCTCTACTGTGTGTAGCACTCCCAGTCTGCAAAAAGAAAAAAAAAGAAAAATTCTGTATGAACTGCATTTAAGAAAATAGAACTTCTCTGAAAAAATCACCTGTGTGGAGATATCATTTTAGGAGAATATAGTATAACAGTGCATAGTCCTTTTCACAGAGAGGAGACTAAATTTAGACCCATGTGTCCTCTCTTTCAGGTTGGCCCCTATCCCACGCCCCTGCACTTGTCAACCTGGCTCAATGCAACTGAAAGATCTAATTCCCAAACACCACTTAGACAAAGTGTATCAGCGGAGAAAAGAAGAGTTTGAGAAGCTCAAAAAAAGGTAAGTCATGCACTTTTGTCACATGACATGAAGACTATAGAAAGCTTCTTCTGCTTTTGTGTGTCACTTAACATACTGAAACCACAACAACCTCACCCAAGTGTGCCACAAGATTCAGAGTCAGATAAAGTCTTATCTGCAATCAGTGTTGTGCAAGTTCACACTTTTCATGAACTAGTTCAAAGTTCAGTTCATTTTTTTTTAGATGAGATATGTAAATGAAAGGCTGAACTTATTTTTCAAACTGATTTCCAGTTTACAACAACTTTACAACATATAAACCATAGACACTATAGAACATCAGCCCGTTTGGCATTATAATGTGTATAACGTGTAGCTTTGACACATTTGTCTTACAGAAGCGAAAACTTAAAACCGCATGACTATTTTGCATAAACTGCGCTGATGCATCAGTTTCTGTCAGACACGACAATATGTGTTCTTTCTGTGACAGAAGGATGTCACTGCAACTTTTGGACGCGTAACTAGAATGCACTGACAGTGAATGAGGGCGGCCCCACTGCGTGTGCTCCGCGTGTGGATAGAGCAGCACGTCCTGCTTTCAGAACATAGGATCCATCCTATTTTTTGACGCTCTACACGAGCATAGGGAGAGTATCTATTGTTGTGTTCTCAAATAATTTAAACATATTCACGTTCAAGTTCTTGATTTCCAAATGTGTTGCGTTCAGTTCAAAGTTCACTGTGTAGCATCCCGGTTGAAATGATGGTCTCTTATACTGAAAAATGAACGTGTTCAATGAATGCGTTCTTTTGAACTAGTTCATGCACAACACTGCCTAATGCACTTTAGCCTGGTCCATTTGAAGTCTCAGTTGTCACATATTTGTCATACACTACATTAAAATCTCACCCTTTCAAATAGCACTTGTACAGAAACTCTAATAGAAAGTACTCAGGTCAAATATGCTCATAATAGGTCCACATGTATTACACATTTGAACAATTAACTTGTAGTACATTTTACTGCATTACAAGTGCATTACTTTCATATGTACTTTACAGAAATTCTACTTTCCTTTGATCTAATGCACTCACTGTTAATGAACTTTTAAGTGCTATTGATTTATAGTATACTACACATGAATATATTGCAAACATATTGGTCAAAAATGCTCTGTTAGATAAATAATACTAAAGTGCACTTAGAATAAGAGCACTTACAGTTGGTACCTTTGTGCCATAGTTTCAAGACGTACTACATCACATTGTTCAGAAATACTCTTTCAGATAGATCATACTAAAATGTGTGTTTATTTAATGTACTTAAGGCGGTACTCTCATAGTGTCATTTTTAGCTATTGACTTACAGCATACTACTTATGAATGTACTGCAAACAGATTATAAATCATAAATGTGCTATTAGATCAACCATACTGTCACATAGAATCAGTGCGCCTAAATTTTTAGGGGAGGCATGAGAGCTGCAGCGAAGGCAGAGAAAGGCCCAGTGTTCAACTTGGCAGAACTCCAGCTGCACAATTTCAACTAATACAGAAATAACTGATGCTTTAAACTACAGACAGTCAAAAGGGTTTTATAATCAAAGTGAACTATTTTCACTTTGTGGGACTATGGTAAAAGTGGAGTTTTAATGTTTTTTTTTTTTTTTTTTTTTTTTTTTGTTTTTGAAATATATGAATGCCAAAAACATTTCACTTTGAAACAGTTCATAAGAACTAAAGGGAACAACTCATACGTTACTGGATGAGTAGTAAATCAACCATTAAAAAAAATAAAAATAAAATAAAAAAAAGGGCCGTATTTCACAGAAATGATTGCCAAAAGCAAATTTTCAGGAAGTGTGTTTGTGTCACCAACAGAACCTCACCTGAATTATCCAGACTGCTGCTGGCTCCACCCAACTCTCCTCTGCAGTATCCCATTCAAGGTTTTACTGTTCCCCCTCTGAAGAGCAGCCCCATTCCAGGTACAGACCCCACTGCACCATGGGTATAAAGTACATCTGCACATGTACATGCAAAGCCTCTTAGTAAAGCAAGAGGAAAAAACTATTTTATACAAGCTTATGTTATGAATTTCATAAAATAAGATAATCTTTGTTCCAGGTTTAAAACTGTACACAGGAGAGTGTAGCAGCTACAAGGTTAGTATGTGTCTGTAATACTTGGCATAGCCAACAAAAGCACATGACAATGTATTAATATGTTACACATGGCCGGCCAGGTTAAATAACATCAATGTAGTCTATAAAGTCCATTTCATGGTCAATTTTGAGCAAATGTCCCAGAAGTCATCAATACAGGAGGTAGGAGACAGACGTGACAACACAAAAAGGGGAGGCTCGCTCACCAGCAGCCTACAACACAAAATGCATGAGAGTGACATACAAGTAACAACTGCTGTATTGATAACTACACACTCCCAGGGAAGGTTGATGACGTCACATGAAAATTAACTGGAAGCACAACTCTGTCTGAAGCTCTGTTACTCAAGTTAGACTTAATCTGAACATTATTTTAACACAATCTGACCAGAAAGAGCGGTCTTAGTTGGAACGACAACAAGTGAAATGATCTGTGATGTTAAACAAGCCTCTCACACATAAAATTGCAGTCACAACCTAGCTACCATTAGTCAACTGTTTTTCAGGGGGGCGAAATGTAGTAAAACGGTTTCCTTTTCATTTACAAAAGTATAGACTTAATTGAGAAGCTGATAATTCCGAGGTCAGTAAGCTCCTCATAGAGCTGCCTCCTCTCTACTGTAAATGCTGCATGAAACCAATACATGCCTAACCTGAAATAAATGACTTTTAATATATTCAGTTGGAGTTTCTCGGGTTTGTACCTTGCCCACTTTTACATTTTCCAGTAAGGGTAAGTTTCTGTTTAAAACATGCCTAACAGTTTCCAGGTTACCACTGTCACAGACGCCTCGAGAGTGTTTCCCAGTTTTAAATAGACAAGCAGCCAAAGCACAATGTCCAAGAAAGCATAATCTCTTTGAAAAGCAATCCCACAATGCCTATTGTTTTTAGTCAACGGCTGACAGGAAAAATAGTGCCTGCCCCTTCCATTCTTTTTGCTGTAGATTAGTAAACTGTTGTTTACAGACACTGTAGCAGTTCTACTTTCCCAATGATAGAACTACATCAACACACTCTTTCTGAAGTGGCTCTTTAGCCAGAACATCAGCTTCTTCATTTCCCAAAATTCCAGCACAAAACAACACCACATTATCTAATCACACAAGTCAAATCACACAAATACAGCACAAAATCTCAAAGATTAAATCAGGGTGAGCCTCAGGTTCTCTGTGACTAAAGTCCACTGTAACACCCATAAGACAGCAAGAAGCTCATCCTAGAGCACAGACACACGTACACTTGGCTTAACCAAAGGCTCAGTGACTTTTCTTAGACCTGTCAGTGAAAATATGAACAGCTTCACTCACTACTCCAAAATTCCTGAAAGCAGACACAAGCCCTTCTTTTGTCAAGAACAAGGAACTTGGTGCTGACCTCTGCCAAGGCAAAGGAGGCCACACCGGACCCACACCACCTGTCCATTTCATTAAGAATTTGTTGGAGCTATGAAGCCTGTATGGGACATGAGGCAATGTCAGAAGAGTCTTACCTGGGCTGTGGACTGTTGCTCAGTGGTCCAAAGTGCTCTTTTCAGATGACAGTAAATTTAGCATATCGTTTGGAAATCAAGGTCCCAGAGTGTGGAGGAAGAGTGGAGAGGCATTGAATCCATGTTGCTTGAAGTCCAGCGAGAAGACACAGAATTTTGGGTTTTCATTGTTTGTAAGCCATAATCATAAAAATTCAAGAAATAGATTCTTCAGTTATTTCACTCTATGTGTCATTATGAGAGTCCAAAATATAAAAAATATTGAACTTTAATGTCCATGATGTTCAAATTTTTTGACAAGTAATTGCACTGTTAAAAGTATGTACAATAAGAAAATAACCATGTTGGATTTATTGCAACCTGTATGATGTAAATAATAATAATAATAATAATAATAATAATAATAATAATAATAATAATAATAATAATAATAATAAATTCAAACTAATGATTGCTTTTGTGTGTTGTCTTTGTAGGTGACCCTGAATGTGAGCAAAGGCCTCCTCAGCGCTGACGCCTCACGCTTCAGAGAAGTGACAGTAAAAGGTCAGTCAGAATTATGAAACACATAAAACTAATCCATTTTGTGCTCGGCTTTGTGTATCCATGTTGCACTTTTATTTGATCAGTTAAAGACTAGTAAGATGGCATGGTGCCACCAAAACCTCTAAAATGAGTTTTTGGTTGCTGTATGTAACAAGGAAAGAAATGAGGACCACAAAAGCATTTTCTGAAGGTTTAATACAAACACACTCAGAGCTCTGGTGCTACTGCCTACATGCAATGAGACTGAGTCTCAGGAACTGACAGTTTTTATACACTGGTGGTCAGGGTTGTGCATGAACGAGTTCAAAAGAACGCGTTCATTGAACACGTTCATTTTTCAGTGAACTTTGACCTGAACGCAACACTTTTGTAAATCAAGAACCTGAACGTGAATTTGTTCAAATTATGTGTGATGAACGACGTACGTCACTGTTGGGGTTTAGTTAAACGTCGGAATTTGACGACGAGTGACGATCTGCTCGCACTCGCACTCGCACTCGCGAAACCACAGCCGCGTGTCAACGCGAAGGCGACTCCACCGGCAGCTTTAACGGAACGTACGGGCTCTTGTGTCTCTCAATAAGAAGTCAAGACTGGGCGCGTTTAGCTGCTTGTATTTACCTTCTGTACAGGCTTGACCACGGCAAACGCAAGGATTTCAAAAGTAAATTTCAAAGCACTAATTAACAGTCTATGTGGATCTGGGCTCTTTCACATGATACACAACTGCCCAGGGAGCACAATGTGCTGATGGTAAATGCACAAATACAACAATAGATACATGCTCTCTGTGGATTTTGACGGAGATACGCGCCTACGCTCGTGTAGAGCGTCAAAAAATAGGATGGATCCTATTTTCTGAAATCTACACGCACAGGACGTGCTGCTCCGCGCGCGTATTATTTTACTTGGTACAAATGTCAGTAACGCGCGTCACAATGCTTTTTTAACCTGGATTGAAATGGTGGGCTTTTCGTTTTTCTTCATACAAATTTGCTAAAATCACCGCGATATCAGCAGCGGTGAAACGCCGGAGGAGCGCCCGCGTAGACCGTGATCCTGAGCGAAAGGACCGACGCACAAGGTCCGCGCTCCACCGAGATAAACGCAGCTTATGCCAGATCGCACTCGGGGTTCTCTCAGGGGCGGTCCTAGATTCCAAGTTCTAGTCCAGGATTAGTCCTGGTTTGGTCCTGGTTCTTGGTTTAGTCCTGTTTAGTCCTGGTTCAGTTCTGGTTTAGACCTGGTTTAGTCCTGGTTCAGTCTTGGTTTAGTCCTGGTTCAGTCCTGGTTCAATTGTTTAGACCTGGTTCAATTCTGGTTCAGTCCTGGTTTAGTCTTGGTTTAGTTCCTGGTTTAGACCTGGTTCAGTCCTGGTTTAGACCTGGTTCAGTTTCTGGTTCAGTCTGGTTTAGTCTTGGTTTATTCCTGGTTTAGACCTGGTTCAGTCCTGGTTTTAGACCTGGTTTCAGTTTCTGGTTCAGTCCTGGTTTAGTCTTGGTTTATTCCTGGTTTAGACCTGGTTTAGACCTGGTTTAGTCCTGGTTTAGTCCTGGTTTAGACCTGGTTTGGACCTGGTTCAGTTCTGTTTTAGTCCTGGTTTAGACCTGGTTTAGACCTGGTTTAGACCTGGTTTAGTCTGGTTCAGTCCTGGTTCAGTCCATATACGGTGCAAAAGTTCAGCATCTTAACAGTTCTTTTGGTGAGAGTAAATTAAAAGTGCTGCAATAGTCGTGTAATGTTTTACATTTTAAATACAGTAATATTGTAATGTAACAAATGACTTAGAAATGACAGTAACAAGTCATAAATAACACATTACAGTTTTAAAGTCACTTGTCCAACAGTGTATCTTGTAAAGTTGTTGTAAACTAGAAGTCAGTTTGAAAAAATAAATGCAGCCTTTCATTTACAGATCTTATCTAAATATAAAATGAACTGAACTTTGAACTAGTTCAAAATTAAAATTGTGAACTATGAACGTGAACTGTTCACTTTGAACAAGTGTGAACTGAACTTTGAACTAGTTCATGAAAAGTGTGAACTTGCACAACACTGCTGGTGGTGGACATCAACATCTGTGAATCCAGTGAATCATTCTCCATAGCCATTTTGGACAAAGGACTTATAGGTCTGAATTATTTTGTCTTTTTGACCATTTGGTTCATTGTTGAAACCATACTGTTAGCTTGTAATGAGATCACACTCACACTCAAGTCACACACTCAAAAACTGAATTCAGGTGCATTACAATTGTTTTGACTGTAGTTTGTCTTTAATTTTGTGTTGTTATTGTTTTAATTTCATTAGTTTCACAATTTCAAAATAGTTTAGTCTGAAGAGAACTCCATTTGAAAATCCTCAAAGTTCATATCATTTTAAATACAGGTAACCAAGAGGCTGAACTCACCGTAGAGTCCAGCAGCCTGAAGTTCCTGAATGTTGTGCTGGCATCAGTGTCTTACCAAAGCACCTTTTATCATGTTCACACTGGCGATCTGGGTAGGTTCCCAAATTACATCCCTCTCACATCAGTATATTTATGTCACTTTAATGTTAAACCCTTTTTATATTATTTCAGCCTCCTTTTCTTTTGAAAATCATGAAGCCCAGTTTCCCATCGTCATCAGACAGCCTCAGCTGCCAGTCATGTTTGACATGGGGGCCGGTAAGTGACCACAAGCCAGAGATACATTCTGTTAATATGGGACATGTGTAGTTAAAATCACAAAGTTTAAACATCACAAATACAGGTAATACCTACAGGAAGAAGCATTACAAACCACTGAAGTCTTTACAGTACTCTCTTTGTGTTTCTCAGTGTCCCTGCTGCCGATAGAGATGTACACTGTGTTGTGATCTCTCTAACGTGCAGAGCAGTTTGTGGCACTAAAAAACCTTTTTTCTCTTCTCAAACTGTGGGCAAGAGCAAACCTGACGACACCTGACACTGTACATTACAGTACAGTAGGTAGTAGGTGCCACAATGACAGTAAAAGTAATAATTTGTAATAAATATAAGATATATTGCCTTTTTATCATTAACTTGTAGCTTGCCCAATACTTACTGTGAACAATATCACTTATAAAACATTATAATAAATACTAAAGAATACATTTTGGTTATATTGCGCCATGACATTTCAAGAAATGTTCATATGTATTATGTCTATACAAACAGTGTAGTAGTGGTTGAAGAGTACTTGTCTAATGTAGTCATGAAGCCGTCTAACTGTTCATGCTGTTGCTTTAGAAATGGTATGTATCTGCTCTTTTGTGTCTCAGACATTAGCTCACAAGTCACTATCACCATCAAGACCTTTCTGCGCTACAACAATCTCAAAGTCCTACTGAGCAGCATCCGCAGGTTTTACCCCAACATCACAGTGATCATTGCAGACGACAGCATTGAACCAGAGAAGATAACAGGGGAGAACATCCAGCAATACATCATGCCACCAGCTCAGGTAAAACTCCTATTTGCATGTATGTTAAACATTTTACCAATCTGTTCTGTGCATGTAAATGTAAATAATATCACCATGGTCAAACATTATGGTTAGTGCTCTTGCTTCACCGTTCATATCCTGGGAGGATACCTGGGACCTTTCTGTGGAGTTTGCACATTCTCCCTGTGCTTTAGTGGGTTTTTGTCCAGGTGCTGCGGTTTCTTCTATCATTAAAAACTTGTACAATAGGCTCATCTGAAAGTGAGATTCCAAATCTCAAAGGGACTTGTCTGGTTAAATAAAGAATAGTTTAATTTACTTTCTATATTTTAATAGGATACATGATTTATTTCTATAGAGAAATTAGTATGTAGCTGAGTTTTGTAAAATGTGTTTTGATGGTCAATCCGCCAAAAAAAAAAAAAATAATAATAATAAATTCAAACATTAGTGGTACTGCAATTTTGTATTTGTATTTATATAGAATACGTCACTGATGTTGAACTGATGAGTAAAGATGAATTAAATTAATTATTGTGTCATCAGGGTTGGTTTGCTGGCAGAAACCTTGCTGTCTCCCAAGTCACTACAAAGTATTTCCTGTGGGCGGATGATGACTTTGAGTTTACTGAAAGCACAAAAATCGAGAAGATGGTAGAAGTCATGGAGGCTGTTCCTGAACTTGATGTGGTAAGTTTGAATTTATGCGATGCGGTACTTTGAAATTGTATTACATTTGTTTCCCTTTGTTAACAGAAACAAGTTTGGCACAGTTTACACATGAAACACTTTTTCTGATCCTTAAAACAATTTTTGAACAAAATAAAAGTGTTTTCTTATCATGTTATGTGTCAAATTATCTTAAGTGTGTTTTGGTTATATGAGTAGTTCTGTCATAGGCACTTTAATCAGTGTAGATAATTATTACATTTTGTTCATTATAAACCGTAAAAACAAACATTTTTATGTTTTTATTGTTGAACAATGGGTGCCTTTATTGAGCCATACATGCATGACCTGGATTTACATAAGTAAGTAGAGGGTAGGTGAAAAAAAAAAATTCTGAGAACTCAAATGCAGGACAATATAGGATTACTCAAATGCAATGTATGAATCAATTGAAATACAAAATTGAGTAAACTAATAATGAGGGAACACCATTATAACGTGATTTGAAACATATCAAAGTCGACTTTACATCATTTTTCTCCTTTAAGGTTGGTGGCTCAGTGGAAGGAAACCAATTTTACTTTTCACTTGAGTATGATGAAGGGGAGGAGGCTGAAGGAGGCTGTCTATACAGGAAGTCTAATGGAAGATTCCATGCAGTTCCTGGTTACCCACAATGCTTTTTGGCCAGCGGAGTGGTCAATTTCTTCCTGGCTCGTACAGACTCTATTCAGAAATCTAGGTTTGACCCCCTGCTGAAGAGAGTTGCACACTCAGGTAAGCAAATTCACTCTTATAATCGCTAACATTGTGAACTTCATTTGACTGGAGTGACCTCACAGGTTCTTCACACAGTCTGTGCTCCTAACCAGGACCACATAAATGCAAACCAATAATCAATATTCATTTTTGTGTCCATGCTAGAATGGTTTATGGATGGACTGGGCTCCCTGATGGTGGCCTCGTGTAGTCATGTGTCTGTTGGTCATCAACCAAAGAAAAATGTCGCCTCGTACAGCAAGTTTCGGACGCCTGATCATTCTGATGTAGTGTTCAAATACCAACTGCACTTCTTCAAAAACCATCTCAAGTGCATAAAGTTTGGATGAAGAGTTACAGTGGGAAATGAGAACTTGATCTTTTGGTCAAGTTAATTTTTCAGTGGTACTTTTATGATCATCACTTCCTGTATTTCTATTTGACTCCAATGGCTTTGCACTTTTGTTTGGGAAAATGTTACACTGTACTTGATCGTATCGGTATTTGGGGTCTCTTTTGGTGAAGTAAATATTTTTATTTATTTATATTTTTCATTTGTCTGGTTCACAGTACAAAAATATAAGTATGGTATGGTGCAATGGTTAATTGATTGGCTAAAGCAACAAGGTTACTAAGGATACAACAACATAATAAATACAAAAATACAATGATCGTAAAATATACAGTGTGGTGCTTTCAGTTACATGATATTTTGAAAACAAAGTGTTAAATTAAAAGTAATCATTAACCATATTTGTATATATATTTTTAAAATAAAGATATTGCCTCATTTTTGTAATTTTTTTTCTTGTTTTAAAAGGGCTATTATGTACATGACATGAAGACTTTTTGGTAACATGTAGCGGGTGGTGCCACGGGGTGTCGCTGCTGAGCACAGACAGAATTTAAGGGGAAGTTGGCTGTTTGCGTGGGGAGTTGTGTGTGGGGCTTACGACACAGGTAGCTACAATTGTAATTGTTTTTAAAGTTATTAAAATTTATCAAGCCTGTCTGTGTTTTTTTGTTTTTTTTTTGTTTTTTTGTTTTGTTTTACAGTTTACCATTGTCCCTTTTGTCCTTTAGTTTGCTTTTGTTGTTCTGTTCTGGTCACTTCCCTTACTCCAACTCATTGTCCATTCATGTTAAATAAATAACCTAAACTGCATTTCCGGCTCCGCATTTTTATTACCACAGCTATAACAAATAGATGTATAAAATCATTTACCACCAATCAAGCACAACAAATGACAAGACATCAAGACCAACAAATTAAAACATCAGTCCATTTCCGAGATGGGGCCCATTGACTTCACTGTGTCTGACCCAAAATGTCATTTCTCAGACACTTACAGTAGCTCCTATTGCTTTATATCAGTGACAGGGCTCATGTTCATATCTTTATCCAACCACACAATTAAATATGCATTAACATTTGTATTCGTTCCTCTTATCTCTATTATACATTATAGACTCACAGATTGTGATGTGAAACACATAGATGTACTTGGCCTCTATAAAATACCTTATCACAGACAAAATAGTGTTTAAAAATCTTTCAGAAGAGATATAATTTGATATAAAACTGTTGACATTTATGAAGTAAACAGCCCTGCAGGCTAAACTGATTTAACGCAACACCAAATGCAACATTATAGAGCATTACAATAACGGGCCTAATAAATAAAAGTGTAGTGAGGATACATAGACTTACAAAGTGTACAGAATGATATCAGTGGTTCACATACTGTTCCTTAAAATCATGCATATTCCCTGTCCATGCAATGACCGATGCCGAGCCTATACCAGCCTCATTTTATTTTTATAAACCTAGAATAAACACACAAACTGTTTTCATAATTTTGTAAGTGGAAAAAAAGAAAATAATCTATAACCGAATTTTAAATTAAGACATAATAAAAAGTGACATATCTTCTTGCGTTGCATTTTTCAATTGGCCAACAGGTGTCAGTGTTGTCTTTTGCTGCAGGTTGGCGTCACCTTTCTCAAACAGGTACGCGCAACTTTTTATTTTTTATTTTTATTTTTAAAGCCTATGTCTTCTTTAATATTTTGATCTTAAACTAAATTAAATAAATGAACTAGTATTTGTGTATGAAGTGGAAGTTCTTTTTACCCCGTCATGTTTTTTTTTTTTTTTGTTTTTTGTTTTTTTTTTGTTTTTGTTTTGTTTTTCCTCTTTATCTTGCTCGGTGCATTTGTAATGCAACGTCGATTGTCAGTGATCCCATTTGTCTTAATAATGATTGACGTTAAGATTTAGCTTCTACAACAATAACAACATTAATAATGACCACTTTCCTCACTATTTTTTTCACAACAGCACCCACTGATTGTGGGCTGTTGTCCACACAGAGCCCCTTTCTTTCCTGATTTTACCATGACATCATCGTCACCCCGGAAAACACCACCTCACCCCCGAACCCATGAAATGAGGCTACGGCTTTGGAATGTTCAAGTAAGGCAAGCACCCAAGCCATAATGCACCCAATTCACCCCCACCCATTTGACCAACCCGACCAACCCACCCCTCAGGCCCCAGCGCGGACAAACGGGGCCTTCACTCTCGCGCGCCCCTTTCACGTCCTTGAGTGACGTTTCTATTAAATCCGTGAAAACAAAAAGGGAAGTCACATCTGAGACTCAAGTGTATTGAGGGCTTAGACAGTAGTCTGTGTGTAAGAGGGACAAACAGGTTCAGTATATCTGCTGGTTTATTTAAAAATAGACTATATTTATTCTTTATTTAACTCTCTCCTCGGGGTCACATTGACCCGAAGATTTTTTTTTCCCCTTCCCACTGTCTTGGGGCGGGTCAAACAGACCCAAAAATGTATTTTCTCGCCTGGCGAGAATTTATTTGAAAATACATTTTTGGGTCTGATTGACCCGCCTTAAGAGAGCAGGAAGGACTTTTTTTTTCCGGGTCAATGTGACCCCGAAGAGAGCATATGTAAATGAGTACGCTAACGCAACACAAGGATATTTAAAAAAAAATAAATAAATAAAAGAAATACGTCCATCACATGGTGGAATAATGGTATGATTATATTGATCATGTGTTTTAAATATGCTAGGAGATTTAAAAAACTAGTTTTCATAAAGTAGTGTTTATATTTCATTATAGGACAAAAATAAATGCAAAAAAAACCAAACAAAATAAAACAAACAAACAAACAAAAAACCAGAGACATCAACACTTACCTGTACAGGGCTACAGTCCTACCCTCGGCTGTCAAATGTATCAGATAGTTCTGTCAAATCATTGCCTAGGTTAATAAGGATAATAAATCAATGGCATTCACCTTTTTAACTTTTCAGCTGTTCAACATTTTATAGCCAAAAAACAAACAGAAATAATGGAGACCTGTCGTTCCCTGTCTTTGTTATTGAAAATTATGAGATCAGGAAAACGACCTAATTCATTAGCTTGAGATAAATTATGAATTAATAGTGCAACATATTTCATATGCTTGTGTGCCTGTGTGTATTAAAAACAGAAATGAAACGCATAATAGTGTGAAATGCCCTTTGTACTGTATTTACTAGAGTTTAACTATACTCCTGTGTCTTCAGTGCTGAGTCTCCACCTCTACCACAGTCCAGTCACCAGGAGCAGCGCTGCTGACACTGTCTGGGGAATAGCTACTCACTGAGGTGACAGTAGCGATGGGGGGGCTGAACTGTGGCAGCAGGTGGGGCCACATGGTGGTTTCGAGTGGGTTGAGACTGCCTCCTGTTCCCACAGGAAGGAGCAGAAGAGAACTCCCATCTTCAGACAGCATCAGGGTCTGGTTGATGAGCTGCTGAACCATGTCCACCTTCATGTTCCACTCAAGCTCCTGTGTCGGACCTTGACAAAGGTGCTTTTGAGAGACAGATTTACCCTGGTTATGGCCATTGAGGACAATCTCCTTATGCACGTTAATTTCATTCTCCTCCTCCTCCTCCTCCTCACTGGTCTCCATGGCTTCATAGATGGTGCAAAGACCTGACGAGGGGGAGACCATGAGTCCGGTGGGGCTTCTTCTGAGCTGCTGTTGCTGCTGTAGGTGTTTCTGGTGCATGCGGTACTGCAGCTCCAGCTCCAACTGCCACTGCAGTCTGTGTCTGTGCTGCAGCCGGAGCAGCTCCTGCCTCTGCTCCTCCAGCTGCCTCTGCTGCTCCAGTCTGTACTCCTCCTCCTCCAGCCACTGAGTCTTCAGCCCCTCCTCCTCCTCCAGCCACTGAGTCTTCAGCCTCTCCTCCTCCAGCCACCGAGTCTTCTGGGGCTCATGCTCCTTACACTTCTCCATCTTCTGCACCATCTCTTGGTGCTTCTCCAGCCCGTGGTCCTGCTCCCTTACAACAGCAGTGTCAGCACATGATTCTATTAGAGGTCCAAAATGTGCTGCCAGAGCAGGGTCAATGGGCCTCCTGTTCCCAGGTACAAGAGCCAGATAATGTCCATTGGCTATGAGCAAACTCCCAGTGTGGTTCTGATTCTGGTCGTTCTCTGGGCTGTGTAGTGCATCTTCATCCTCCACATCAGATATTTCGTTTCCTGTCAAACAGTTAAGATCACTTGGTGCCTCCATGAGATGCATGCATAAACACCACAAGTACAATAACCAGAGAGAACAGGGTTCAGAAGACATCAGACAAACAAGGTAGAACTTAAAAAGGACTGGAAACGGTGAGGACACTGCCTATGAATCATGTTTAACCAAGTACCAGAAGGGAACCTTGAAATTATTACTTATATCTTCATAGTGTGCATTTGGTTTCATTTTAATTTCACAAACTGCACTTTATTTCACTTAAGCACGTGCAATAGATCAACAGTCAACTTGCATGCAGCACAAGACTCCATTGGCTACATGAATGATAATCAGTGGTGTCCTTAAAGATGTGTAAAGGAGGTAAGACTTTTGGAGGTAAGGTCATTTGAAGGGCGGAAGATTCATACCAGGGGTTTTGTTCAGCAGGCTTGGGGATGTCATAGAACAAGAGCAGGAATGTAAATGTGTTATTTTACTTTAATAGTCACACACTAAAATGCATTCATGTGGACAAAGACAACAGCTCTGTCTGTGAAGAGGTGTAGTCGGACACGAGAGCAACTTTACAGTGCGGGAGGGGCTGGTTCATGGACATGCCAAACTTCAGGACACCATCTGAAAAATATATTTCATTTGACAAAAATTCCATTTTGAAATACCACCATTAAACAATGTTGCATCACTTCCTGTTGCCTGTTATTCCCATATCAAAATGGAATTGAATAAAGGAAATCAAGCGGTATACACACACAGTCACTATTATAAAAGACGAAGTCACATGTTTGGTCCATAGGGGAAATAAGAAACAGGAACAGAATGCATTGCAATGATGTTTTAATGGAATTTTGAAAGATATTGAAACCTAATGTGAACCGTTCTTTTATGAGCATATCTAGTGTAATGTGATTCCAACTCCTTCAGCTATTACAGTCTAGTCTTTGTTAGTTGAACATGCAATATACTGTTGAAATAGTAAACCAAGCGTCCACTATGATTCAGTTAGTAAAAGTATTTTTTTGATGCAAGACACTGAAATGTCTTGTCATAAAATGAGTGAGGTTTAACTTTCCTCCAAAACAAATGATCAGCTAAATGAGATATAACCATGAACACATGAAACCAAATGCCTGTTTCACATACGGTACTGACAGTACTGTGCCATTTATGCCTTTGCAAAAAAAACTCCTGAAGCACATTAAACATATAACAGCAATCTAATGCTCCCACAACGATTTTGACAGAACCTTAAGAGCAAAAAGCTGTAAGAGCTAACCTTTATTTGAAAGCTAAAACTTCATGAAGTTTGAACAAAAGCTGCATTAAAGGAGCGTGTGGTGTCATTACTATGGTGCTGTTGAACATGGAGCGTTTACACAGGGCAGGGAAGACTGGGCTTAACAAAGGAATATAAAACAAAAAGTAAAATACAAAACAAAGATGACATTTGATTGGTAAAAACAATAGGATAAATACACAATGAGTCCATTTCATTCCATACGTTGCTTTTTCTTTTACGGCTTAAAAGCTTAGTCACTATAGACCAATCAGTCAATACCCCTCCAGGGGCTTCAGAATATGCAGTGTTACTTAAAAAGAACATTCTATTAGAAAATGGTAGTAGCTATTTTACAAAGATTTAAGCCATACTCATAACCATAACCCAAGTATGAAAGAGGGAGGCTTTCATTTAAAAATTGCTACAGTCATTTTTCCCATCTTCAGTTCCTTGTTTATTTTTTAAAATCTCTTCCTACAATCTTGCTCTCCTTTTATCTTCTAAGGTTTCTATCCCAATTGGAGAGAACACGAACAGGTACAGGGTAGGGTTGTGGGGAAAAGGTGCATTCCAGGGGCTAACGTTAGGGACTTATACATTACCTTCCAGAAAACTATCAGTTTTATCACATATGGTAGAGTAGTAGGGTGCCTGGTTCTCATCGGAGTCACCAGAATCCTGGTTATCGAGGAGGTGTGCAGGCTCCCGTGAGTCGACATCATGCAGAAGGTCAGCTCCCATCTTGCCACCCATCATGTAGTGATGCTCATCCAGACCAGAGTGGTCCCCTGAGTGGCCCACAGGCAAAAGGTCGACTGGTCGGCCCAGCAGGTCATCTGCAGCTGCACCTGCTGATGTTAGCTCCTTTATGAGAGATGGGTTCTTGGCTTCCTCTGGAAGTTGCTCTTCGTTCTCCAGAGAGAAGATCCCTGGACTTTTCCCACAGCTCTCAGCCATAGAATGGGCATTTGAATTTGAATTGGTACAATCAAAACCATAAGATGCCACGGAGTTGGCGGATTGAGGGGTAGCGCCACCTCCATCCTCCTCAGCCTCGACAGATGCTGCTTGCACAACCTCCTCATCTTCATCAAAAGCTGGTAGATTAGATGTGGGAGTTGGGCTGTCAAACGGAGCACTCTCACCCATTGCCATTGGTTCATCTGGATCATTTATCTGCATTTCGCCCTCGGTGTCACTGGCCTCATCTCCTGATGTGGATGCTGAAGAGGGGGCAGACGCTGGTGCAGTTGGAGGTCCTGTTCCCAATACTTCATCAGCAGGCAGTGTCTCTGCCTCCTCTTCTTCTCCATCAACTTTTTCCATGTGGATACCCAAGTCCTGCTCCAGGTCAGGCTGAACTTGAGCAGGCACTGGGGTCTGCTGTTTGTCAGAGCGAGATTCAACTCCTGAGCTGCTGTCATATTCACACAGGTCCTCTGGGGTACTGGTCTCACTGCCACCACGTCGGACAGGGACATCTTCAGCAGGAGCTGTAGCGTCAGCGTGGAGATCTTCTGCCTGAGGAGCAAAGGCTGGGACAGAGCCGTCAAAGCAGGTCTGTGCGGGAGACTGGGTGGGTGTTTCAGAATCTGCTGCACCATGATCAGACATGGGACTGGGGGAAGAAACTGAGAGCACTGAAGCAGGTTGAGCCCATGTATCAGAGAAGGGGTTTGTCTGTCCCCATGATGAAGCTGGTGGGTTGCTTACTGAAAGGCCACACTGATTGAGGTTGTCTAATCTTTCCTCCTCATTAAAATCTTCCTCAACATTTTCACCACTCTCAGTCTTTCCTTCACTGTGCATCTCAACATCCTCATCCTCCTCCTCATGCTCCTGATTTGAGAAGACCTTTTGATGCTCATCAACTTTCTCAGAGCTAAGGTCCATATCATCCACACGTTCATCTTCTTCATCTTCGTCTTCTTCCTCATTGGCAAGAGTCTCAACATTGGGAGAGCATGTAAGGTTTGCATCACCCTCTGAGCCCCTTAGACTAGAATCCACGAGGGCATCAGAGCTTTGTGTACCTTCCAAGATGGCAGTGTGCAGTGTGCTGCTCAAGTCAGAGACGCCCTGCTGTCGACTGCTGGTGCAGCTGCTCATATCTTCAGAGTCCATCCCAGACAAAAGATCATCGGCATGCCAACCCAAAGAGCCCCCGAAAGCTGATGACTTGACCTGGTCCTCTGATGGCTGTGACGAACTCAAATCTGTGATCATGGATGACGGCTGATAACCAAATCTCCTCTGGTCCTCATCTTCATCCTCCTCATCTTCATCATCTTCATTGATCTCTTCCTCTGCTTTTTCTACCGCCTCCTCCTTCTCATGAGGGGACATGAGGTTTCCTGAGGCAAATGCATCAAAGTGAGAAGCAGTGGAAAATGTCTGGGGCTCTGCCATCACACTGGAAATCACACCAAACGGGGAGGAGGAGACCAACTGATTTTCCTTCTCATTTGGCTCCTCCTCTTCATCTTGGTCATTGTTTTCCTCCTCTCTGTCTATGTTCTGGAAGTCCAAAAGAGATGCATTTGGTGCTTCCCTTTCAGGGGATACAGGCCCCGTGGGTGAACAAGGAGGAGACATCACTGTGGTCCCCAAAGAAGCCACAGAGTCATTGGTCTTATCAAAAAGATCATGTACATGTTCAGCTTGCTCATGCAGCTCGGGAGTAGGCTCTCTGATTGGTTCCGGGGTGGGCTCTCTGATTGGTTCCGGGGTGGGCTCTCTGATTGGTTCCGGGGTGGGCTCTCTGATTGTTCCGGGGTGGGCACTCTGATTGGTTCCGGGGTGGGCACTCTGATTGGTTCCGGGGTGGGCACTCTGATTGGTTCCGGGGTGGGAACTCTGATTGGTTCCGGGGTGGGCTCTCTGATTGGTTCCGGGGTGGGCTCTCTGATTGGCTCAGGGCTAAGCTGTCTAAGAGACTCTGTTGGTGGTTGTGCGGTGGGTTCTGGCTGGTGCATGCCCTCTTCAGGAGATGGGTGCTCTTCTGGTTTTGCAATAACAGCAGCTGCAGTAGCTATTGCAGCAGCAGTGGCTACAGCGATAGCTGCATCCTTGTCAGATTCACTTGTTTTGGGACCACGCTTCACTGGAGTGGGAGTACTGCTACCTACAGTTTTTTTAGGGCTGGTGGCCTTGGGTGCTGCTGTTTTAGGGGTCTTGGTTGCGTCCTTGGAGGGGGGGACCTTGTTTTCAGGTTTGGCCCGGTTTGGTGTCTTTGTATCCACAGCCTTACTGGTGGTGGACTTTTTGGAGGCAGTATCTGTTTTTGCTGTTGCTTTTGGTGTATCTTGTTTAGCTGACTTTGTTGCAGGACTAGTACGGGCAAGAGGAGACTGCACAGGCTTTTTGGCTGAAGATGGGGCTGGTTTGGTAACATCTGTATGAGAAAAGAATAAGAAAACACTTGAAGTCAAAAGAATAATTGTATGGAATACAGAAGAATACTATGGGGGCTTTTCAAACTAGGAATGATCTAGGAAATACTATGCTCTTTGCTTTGTCTTGTGACATCGGTCTGACTGTAATGTACAGTACTTTTAACAAAGGTGTTTTATTACCTTTTTTCACAGGAGTTGTGGTCTTGGATGTTTGTAATGCTGGAGCTTTGCCAGCAGAGGGGGTTGTTGGTTTGGAGGTAGCCGGCTTTGACGTTGTGGCAGAAAGTTTAGGAGTGGCAGACTTCGGGGCAGCAGCTGAACTCTTGGTTGTGCTGCTGCTAGAAGGACGACTGGCTGATGTGGCAGAGGGTGTCCTAAAACACGACAAAACAAGATCCATTCAGTAAGCAAGAAAAGATAAAACTTATACTATTGTACAGAAAAGTTAAATTTGATTCGCATATCTAGCTAAAATAGATACACATTCATCACACATAAAAGCACAAAGCCAGTATGGGACAGTTCATCTGGGGTTTCTGTGTGTAAAGAATGTAATGGAACAAGGCACCATGGAATATTTGTTCATTCCTCCTGTAGAAGGGCACTCTAAAATAAGGCTGCAAGATTAATTACAACTGAAATCATATTTGAATGGATGCAACTAGTGAATTTCAAAGGATGCAATTTTTTAACCACAATTTCCTCCATAAGAAAAGAATTACATATTTCACTCTTTTTGTCTATTGTTCTGGACACATTTAAAATGTGAAAAATAAATAAATATAACTAACTAACTAACTAACTAAATAAAATAAATAAATAAATATAAATTATATATATATATATATATATATATATTTTTTTTTTTTTTACTAAATCGTTCAGTCCGACTCTAAAACATTTCATATGCCAGAGTACAACGTGACCTGTGTCAGTGAAGATGTCAATGTTGTTGTCAATGTCTTGAGGACCCCCTGGAAAACAAGATGGTGATACATCTCAAGGGGCTTATCCTCCAAACAAATAAATTCAAATTCAAATTGTTGGCCAGTCTCAGCGTTTGCGTCTTCCACAGCTCCTCAGAGGATTCCTCACTATTTTTGAGCAGATGTCCTCTTCCTGTTCTTTTTATGTATTGAGATGCCACAGAACCAAGCTGCACTACAATAAAGGGGCACACTTTGTTTGGACTGTGGCGGTGTACAACTGCTCCAGGATGGTTCTGTTGACTTCGAGAGGGAGCTGTCCCATACACTCTTATATGACTATATTATTTGCTGTTGAATGACAGCTAGGAGAAGTTCGGAATGTCCAAAGATATTTTCTTCTGTTTTTAATGAGTTAATAACAAGAGTGCTATGGTGACCATCTCACACAGTTCAGGTAAAAACGGGGTTGCTCCCATTCAGACAGCAGACCCTCCAGTGCTGTGTCATCTGAGAATTTGATGAGCTGGTGGATGGATGCTGGGAGTAACGCGTTATAAAAGTAACGAATTACAGTAATGCATTACTTTTTGCTGTAACGCAGTAATGTAAGGCATTACAGGGGAAAAAATAGTAATATTTTACTCGGTACAAATGTGAGTAACACGCGTTACAATGTTTTTTTAACCTGGATTGAAGTGGTGGGCTTTTCTACATATTCGCTAAAATCACCTCGATATCAGCAGCGGTGAAATGCCGGAGATGCGCCCTCGTAGACCTTCAGGTAACCACGGGCGAAAGGACTGACAAGAACTCCACGCTGTTTAGACCTGGTTTAGACCTGGGTCAGTTCTGGTTTAGACCTGGTTTACACTCGTCCCTCCCTCTATCGCAGTTCACTTTTCACTGTCTCGCTGTTTCGCAGGTTTTTTTTTATTATTATTTTTTGTGCAATTTTGCTTGCCTTTTTTTTTTTTACATTGTATGAATGCGTATTGCGTTCCTCCCGCTGCGTCCTGACTGGCCAAAGGACTCCAGTCTCCTGTACAGTACAGTACAGAATGTGTTCAGCTGCCAAATTTAAATACATGTTCAGTCTCTAGCAGTGTGATTCTGAAGTGCTGTACGGTTGCAAGTTTTCTCCCCGACGAAACCCACAACGTCGACGAAACGTTCTGCACCGACAAAGGCTCCTGCGCTCGCACCCAAAAGGCAGAGGAAGATGCAAACCATCACACAAAAAGTTGGACTTCTGGACACGCTGAAGGAAGATAGAAGTTACGCGCTGTAACAGACTCTTGCACCGGCTCGGTTACCTGCAAATAGTTGCTGAAATCAGGGCCGCGAGCCCGAGCAGCAGGATGTCTGTAAAGAGTGATCGGGTGACAGCCGCTCTTACCTCTGTGAGGTGCGGAGCAGAGCCGCTCCTTTCTCCTGCGGTCACCTTCGAGCCAGTCCTGACAGTGAGTCCTGTTTTAGTCCAAGTTCAGTTCTGGTTTAGTCCTACTTCACTTCTGGTTTAGTTCTGGTTCAGCTCTGGTTTAGTCCTGGTTCAGTCCATATACAGCGCAAAAGTTATTTTAGTGAGAGTAACTTAAAGTAATGCAATAGTAATGTAATGCCTTACATTTTAAATGCAGTAATATTGTAATGTAACAAATTACTTTGAAATGACAGTAATAGGTAATAAATAACGCATTACAGTTTCAAAGTAACTTGCCCAATAGTGCTGATGACACAGTCATTGGTGTAGAACAGTAAAATCTCAACATCTTTTATCTCTCGAATTCTCAAAATCATGTCAAAATTATGCCAATTTATTTAAAACAAGCACCATTTTAGTGACAAGTCTGATAAAAGTAGGCTACATTGAACCGTCCTTACTTGTATGCAATCTCTCGGGCCCTACACTAACTGCTTCTAAATAAAGAATTGAGTTCATGTCGGCAGAAAGAGAGCATGTAACCAGGGGAGACAGAGGGAATGAGGGTAGCTGAACCATGTTCATCTTCAATACAACAAAGACAACCAAATGGGCTATGGGCTGTGTTAGGGCTGGGCGATATGGATCAAAAAATATATCTCGATATATTTTGCTATATCTCAATATACGATATATATCTCGATATATGTTCAAGAAAAAATAACCCCCTAAAACTGAAAACTGCAAAAACAAATCTGCCAAATTCCAGAAGGTCTTTTTTTTTTATTGAAGTGTAAGAGGTCGGCAGTTCATATAGGAACATTTAAGATTACAAAAAAAAACTAATTACATAAATAATAATTTAACTGTAAAATAAAAGAAATAATACATATTTCCTTCTTTTCATTCATAAATAAAACAACTCAACACAAGCTCATCTTTGCATTAACTCTGTTATCCAGACCATAACCAAAACCATGAGCTCATTTAGCAGAAGAAGCTCAGGATGTTCCTTATTTCAATAGATCCATGTTATTATCCAGCAGTAAGGAGCTCTGAGGTTTCCCACAATCCACTGCAGATCAAACCCAACGTTTCCAAACACTACTGTACATGTGACACTGCAGCAGATTATTAATTAAAATATTCTGCATAAATAAACTTTACAACATATAAAGCATAACGACTATAGAGCCACATCAGCCCGTTTGCGATAATAATGTTTAATGCAGTTTTGCGCACGTGTTTACATTTTACAGAAATGAAACTTAAGCGCATGGCTCATTTGCATAAACAGCGCACTTCTCACGCCGCTCAGCTCGTTTAGCTTCTTTCGGGCTAAAGGACACGACTCGGTGGAACATGAGGATGTGCTGCTGGTGGTTTTGTCTGTGAATGGTTGAAAAGGTTCGTGGTGCTTGAAGTTTTTCACTGGCACCAACTTTCAGCGTTCACGGCGATAGTGAGGCGTGAAGGACACGCGAGCGAACTAAATCAGGGAGGCGGGGGCGATGTGAGAGAAGGTAAACAAGCGAAGCGGCGAAATCAGAATTGAATCTACGCATTATATCGATATATACGATATGTCAGAATTCATATCGAGTTTAAAAACGATCTCGATATATTTAAAATATCGATATATCGCCCACCCCTAGGCTGTGTACTTGCTCTGTGTTATTACAGATAATGTTTTAGTCATACACTAAATGCTAAGACTGGTGTTTTGGGGAAATGAACCTGTGTACTCCTGATACTGAGTAGGACAGCAGGACATTTCCTTGAAATGTAAGACTTGAAAGAGAAAGTAATTCAGTACGGTGTCAATATGTACGAAAAATTATTAAAAAGGAATAAGGGTCATGTGGGCTATTTGGAATGATAAAACATAAGATTAAACAACTTCAAACAACTAAACTAAACTGAAAATGGAGACATTACATTCATTTCAAAGCAGTATTGTGACACTGGAAACTGGCAGATACATTAATATTACCTGATGGTGCTGAAAAATAAAATGACATAACAGTGCACTGATGCATACAGAAAAGAGAGAGGACCACAGTTACACTTATTGCTGACTTACATTTCAGCTACATTTAGTTTTGCTGTTAAATGTTGGACACAATGTCTGCTGGTGCTATTTTGTTACACAAAGACAAGAGAAGATTTGAATAATTAGATGCACAATGAAAAAAGTGCCGTGAGTAAACGTGGGCTGAGCATGCAAATAGACAGACATGTCCCCTCCCTGCAGCCATGGTGACAGACAATGCCATCAAGATGAGTTGCTAATTAAATATTAGTTAATTAAGCATCAGTAATGTGGGAGCTGTTATCCTGCTGAGTGTATCACTTTGATGAAGGAATGCTCAATGAGAGCAAAATATAAGCAAGGCCACTTTTCCGTCTAATTCCATTCCTCTGTGTCATGGTTGCTGGCAGAGCTGATGACACTGATATATGTGCCCCTTGTATCTTTCGCCTCACTCACTCTGACTCGCTGCCACTTAGTCCATTTGGTAATTAGGTCTGCAGCTGCATGACTCAGAAATCACAGCAGAGGAGGTGAACTGCATCACATTCTCACTGACCACACCCACAACAGTAAGAGATTAACAGCCTGCCCCAGTCATGCCCACCCATTACATCAGCTGCAATTTGTTGGATCATGATGTTGCCCAAATTCAATTTAGAGCTATAAAAATGTATCACCCCAGTGGGACCATCAATGAGATCAGAGCATGACTAATGTGAGAACATGGGTGATGTGGGGGATGGTGGGGTGTGATGGAAAACCACCCAACAGCCAGACTCATGCCATGGCTACCCTATGAGGGCTGGGCAGGCTCCTGGTTTTTGTGAAACAGAGATCATATTTACACACTGTCAAATGACTGCACGTGCAAGAACGTAATAAAAGCTCCGTAAGACACAAATTATTTCAAGTTATTGTTTAAAAGATAATATATTTCTTTTGCATGAATGAGAGCTCTCATTCTGTTTGCCTGACGAAGGTCTAGTGCCACAACGTTGCACGGTTTGTCCTAATAAAACTCACAATTTGCAAGTAAGATGGTGTGTTGGATTTTTCTCCATGTTCTTGGGGTGCTCCCTCTCCTCCAACGCACCCATCTCAAGTAATTGATGTGCGAAGTTCTCATTCTCTTATGTATGCACAATTAAAAATATTACTAAGAACAGTAAAAAACAACAACACTTTTTTGTGTTCAAGATGTAAATTATGGTATGAACATTCTTAGTGGGAAATAGATACTACTTTTATGTAAAAGTAACAAATTATTCTTGTCAGAATAGGCTTGGTACTCAGATATGTGGATATTTCTAAAAACCTAAATGTAACTGTCAATTTAAATTGTATCTGTATATTTTATTGAAATGCAGAACATTTCCTTTCGAAAGAAAATTTAATATTCACCTAGAGGGATTTGTAGATTTGTAGCAACCTCCAAAGCCTTTTCTCTAAAGGCACCAAATTCAGTACAAAACGTACAGTCCTTTGCATGTGTGAGAGGCGCAGTGATGAAGCATATCAGGACACATGATTTATTCAAGCACGCAGCCTCTGTACTACTCCACTGGCACCGTTCTCATTGGACTTCAGAGCACTGCATTCACACAGAAGGGCAGGAGGAAGTGACTCTTTAGCATGTGCCCTTGTGTCACATACTACTCAAACATTCCATACCCCGTAGCCTAAACAGTTTAAAAGTAACCTTAAGATATAATACAAGAGAAACAGAACACACAGTAGGCCTATACCACTGATAACATATAAATATTATTATTTGCATAGGACACAAACCATCTGCATCTGCCCAACAGTCTGGCATACAGCTCACTTATATCGTCAACACCATATAAGATGAATTCAGTATTTAATTTACAAAATTTCTATTTAATGTACAAACCAGCATAAGGTCTCAAGATAGCTCCCTTAGTAATGGGACTGCCCATCCTGAAAAGGCTGTGTGTGTGTGTGCGTGTGCGTGTGTGTGTGTGTGTGTGCGTGCGTGTCAGACACCTTTCCCAGCACACAGTGGGTCCTAGAACAGGTGTGGAACTCACTTGTAATATTTATTAGTATGTTTCCACCTATAGAACTGCAGAACTGATAAAGATTGCAGACATGAAATTAGTTTTATGTGTAATCTGTGTTGGATTATATGTATTTTTCATACTTGAAGTATTCTGAACAATACAGTGTGCGTTTAAATGAATTCCCACACACAGTATTATGTCAGACTCAGGTCAAGAATGACTTACACCAAGAGGCAACCATAGCTTTAAAGCTAATCTAATTTTGCTAAAACCTGCAGCTGAATAAAATACATTACTCTTGTAACTCTAAATTAGATAGATGTTACTCAGCCCACACATATTTACTCTGCACTTTTACTTGCCTGACTGGAAGTTGCTGTAAATGGACCATAATCTATTAGTAAAGTGAAAACACAGCCAGTTGCGTATGTGCATCTATAGTAATAATGCCAGAGCCCCACTGCTGTTGGCCAGATCCTGTCTGGTGGCTACTTAAAGAGAATGCAGGACTTTAAAAACACGTATTTTAGAGCATAGGAGTACTATCAGATGTAAAAACATGAACTATCCTGTGGCATTTTTTGATTTCAACCACTCTATCTCTTCCTTAAGATATACTGGTAAATGTAAAACTTGTAAAACTGCCCCCTATGCATTTTTTTTTTCACTTTTACACTTAAAGAGAATGAACAAAAGTCCAAATGTATGGCCCATGTAACATGAACTGTTGATACAACGTCAGGACATTATAGAATAATTATAAATTAAATTTAACTTTCCATTGCTGATGTTGTTTATACATGTTTTAAGGTAAAGTACACCGAATATTACTTATCCTTATCTAACACTCGAGTAATACCTCAAAATATTGGTTGCATTTATGAATGAGGTTCTCGTTTACCTAAAACTTAAAACAATGGTTCTTTATCTTTCCAGTAATTTCCACCATGCTCTTCGGTAAGACTCTGAAATGAGCATCAGACATTGTTAAGGCTGTAATCTGAATCTAATCTCCACAGTGCGCCTGTTCCAGTGGCAGGTGGAGGAGAGCAAGAGAGAGATCTTTATTCAGATCTGATGAGATCTCATTTCCATTTTGTTTTGTTTTTTTACTAATGCAACAAGCAATTAGTTTTCTCACTGTCCAGAACTGCAAACTTAAATCTATGTCTGAAAAGTACTGGCCAGGGTATGTCTCAGTTTGTGAACCAAACAACTGTAATCAGCTAAATTATATATGACTGCTTAACTACAGTATTAAATGGCGACAATTAAAGCAAAAGGTTATGTTGTGAAGAGAAAGCTTGAAAGAGGAGGCTTATTCATTATCCAAATATTACAAAAAATTATCCCAGCCCTAATGTCTGAGTACAAGATTTTTCATGCATATAATTGCTACTCAGAAAGGCTTAAAGGGTTAGTTTAAAAGAGGCAATGAAAAATAAAAGCATGTGTTGTTTGTCACACACTATTGTCATTACCAATTCTTTTTTATCCACTCAGAGTTTAAGATAGTTAGGCAGTAAAAAAAAAAAATATTTTAGAGCTACCAAAAGCTGCAGTTTAAAGACATGCCCAGGAAGAAAGCGTCTCAAAAAAAAAAAAAAAAAAAAAAAAGTTAATTTCCACAGTAAAGTCTTGCCTACCTGGTTGTCTTGGAGACAGGCGGCTTGTCAGGTTTGGGAGAGGTGGTGGAGCTGGGCTTTGTGGCAGTGGAAGTGACTGGTTTGGAGCCTAAAGGATAAAGAGAGTTCAGATGATATATGACATATAGAGATACATCTAGGCCAACTGTATTTCTAGAGTTGTAATATTCTCTTCAGCATGGCTAATATGACAGCTATACCCCATCCTACATGCATCCATCTTGTGATGCAAAAAAACACTGTTTGCTATAATTGGAGCTGTGAAAAATGATCATGCTCCAATAGATCTGTGTACTTCCTCACACAAGCTACTCACTATTTATTTATATTTTTGAAGTACTTAATGGCCATTTGAGTGACTTTCAATGCATGTATGTTTGTGTAATCTGCCAAACAAGCGTCAAAGGGAAATATTTGTGTTAGAAATAACCAATGTTTTTTTCTTTTTCTCATGGCCAATACCGGTACAAATCACATAGAATCCAGAGGGACTGATAAGATAAGACCGATATTTTTGCCTGATATATAGCGCAAATTTTTTTTTTTTTTTACATAATTACCTAAATTCTGGCCTCTGCTAGAAATTTAAGGCTGATAGCAGTTACACAAAAAAGTGCAAATATTGGTCATCAGTCTATCTCTAATTTGTATTTTTAATTTTTATCCGTCCACATTTTGTGAAAGGTTTTAAAATCAACACATTTTCAGGCACGTTTTAGCCTATTTCTGATTGATTGCCATTAAATTGGATTGTTATCTCAAATATTGAGATAGTTCTTTTAGTGAATATCGCACTGTCTCACTCATTATTTACTCAATAACAAATTGTACACAAAGTAATAAGTTATTACCTTAACTACACTTTTAGCAATATTTACTTATTGTGCCTTTTTGTGGTGCTTTTGTCATGTGAACAACAGGAGCTTTCCTGACAAAGAGCACTACACTGTAAACACATTTTTAAATATTTGTCCTCCTTTCTCGATATAGCACAGGCCTGATGGATCTTCATATTTTGTACATTTTCTTTTCACAAACCTGCAGGCTTTTTTGCAGCAGTTGTAGAGGAACTGGTTTTGACCCCATTAGCAGAGGCAGTCGGTGTCTTCTTGGCTGTTGTGGTTGTAGTCTTAGCTCCGTTTGGGAGGGGCGTAGCTGTGGGGGTCTTTTTCTCTGCTGTTTTTAAGGTGTTCTTGGGTGTTGGGGTGGTCCCAGTTGGCTTTTTGGGTGCTGCTGTAACTGGAGTGCTCTTTCTGTCTGAAGCAGGGGTGGTTTTCTTAGGCACGCCGTTGGTTTGGGGCTTGGAGACCCCATTGGAGAGACGGTTAGGGGTCTTTGAAGTGGTGGTGGCCTTGGTTGGAGTGGTCCCTGGTTTTGTCTTGGTATTCTTATTAGGTGTCTTGGGTTTGGAGTCTCCTGAAGGCTTGCTGCTTGTTTTGGCAGTGGGCGTGGTTTTAGATGGTTCTGTATCACCTTGAGATTCCTGCGCCGCCTCCCCTTCACCCGGACCGGCAGCCTGGTTAGGTTCCTGTCCTGGGGCTGGGACTCCTTCATTACCCTGATTGGCTTCTAGCGTTTCCATTGGCTCCAGTGCTGCCGTGGCAACTCCATCCGGCTTCATCTCCCCTTCAGTGGTAGTCGGACTCAGCTGTGCAGGGTTAGTGGTCTTTAGAGAAGGGCCAAGGGTCTAGAGGCGTCTGGAGGCACCGAGGTCTGCTCTGAGGAGGCATAAGAGGGTACAAGTACAGTAGTTAGAAGCAAGACCAGACATGAGGCTTGTCTTTGCACCAATCAGCAGAAAGAAAGACAGGAATGTGGTTAGATAAAGATGCAGCTTTCAGCATCAGAAACTTGCTCAAAAGCTGAAAGTGACATATTTTAAATCCTTTAGTAGCAATAATTATTAGAAAGAGTGCCTTTACTTTATGTAACTAAAAGCAGTTTATAATCCTACAGGATATCTGCTACACTGATGTGCTGCTGGTTAAAACAAAGGAATTTATCAAATGAAAATACACACTATGCACACCTATGTTTATCACAAAGCAGTCTAATACTCAGTGGTGTAGTGGGGATTTTTGAAGTGGGGGTACGTGATTCATGACATCATCGATGTGATGAAACCAGGACTAAACCAGATCTAAACCAGGATCAAACCAGGAGAGATTTGAGAGGACTTAAGAGCGAGAGAGAGAACCCCGAGTCCGCGGAGCAGGGTGTCCGCAAAGTGCGATCGGGTGTGGGCTGCACTTAGCCCTGTGGGGCGTGGACCTTTCTCCTGCGGTCACCCAACGATCTATGCAGGCGCACCTCCGGGCCCTTCCTGACAATCAGTCCTGGTTCAGTTCTGGTTTAGTCCTAGTTTAGTCCTGTATTAGTTCTGGTTCAGTTCTGGTTTAGTCCTCCTGGTTCAATCCTGGGATCAGTCCTGGTCCCCTCATGTCACAGGTCACTATAGAACAGTGCTGCAAATATCATGAGCCTATGCAGGTTGTTTTCACCATTGCCAATGGGGCCGGTTTGAATTTTAAGTTGTAGGCTATTTTATTTATTACCTCCGCCAAGGAGGTTATGTTTTTGCCGGCATTTGTCTGTTTGTTTGTTTGTCTGTTAGCAACATAACTCAAAAAGTTATGGACCGATTTTGATGAAATTTTCAGGATTTGTTGGAAATGTGAAAAGGAAGAACTGATTTCATTTTGGGGGTGATCCGGAAGAAATCCTGGATTCTGGATCACTTTGAAATTTTAGTTAACATTGTGGTAAATGGGGCCAAAAATTTTGTTTCTCAATATCTCTGTTAATTATTGACCAAACCCCATGAAATTTGACTCAGGGATGGACAATGGGATCCTCTTTCATATTCCAAATTGAAAGATACAAGACAAATATTTATAGAAAACACAATTAATATGAGGGGGACTGTAGTCCTTGGCGGAGGTCTGCGCTCTCTGAGTGCTTTTCTAGTTTTTTTTTTTTTTTAAATATCTCACACTGGAAGAAGTGGATGGACCCTCTTGTGCCACACCCACTATACCCCTGCTAAAACTTGAGTCCTGGGAGTCAGAAAATATCACAAGGACCAATCATGGTGTCACACTTAAATTCCTACCACCTACCACTTATTGATATAAGAACATTTAAAGGTTCACTATGTAACTTTTATCGTGGAGGGTCTGCCACCTGGTTGGCTCCTTGGAGATGTAATTGCTTTGCCTAGAATTTTCTACAGTATGGCATAATCTATTATCTCAAATAAACTATATTCAACTTCTGTTTCCATGGAGACATGGAATACGGAGATGCTACTAGGCCAAGTTACAGGTCAGATCTGTGGAGAGGCGACTATGCTCACAGTAAGAATGCGTGTTTTGCAAGATTTCCTGTCTAACATCTCCACTGAAACAAGTAGATGGTGACCTGAAATGGTAAGAAACAGAGAACTATCTGAACAAACGCATAGACTTTTATCTAGGGCAATGTTGTGCACAAAGGGAGATACACTAGGATAAACAATTAGAACAGCACATGTTATGATCAGCTGTAAGCCAAATCTCGTGGACCACAAAAGGGGAGCCATGGGAGGACAAGTCTGCTCCTGAATGCTACAAATAGCCATCATTCATTTCTGTGCCAATGAGCCCCAGTCTGTGTGACGCTACAAAGCTCAGTGACACACTTGGCTAAGAGTACTACAGCGCTGATGTGGGTTGACGTCTGGGCCACACTTAAGCATGGGACGATATTGAAATTTGGTGCCAAAATAATTGCGATCAGTAATTATATCATGATAGTTATTAAAGTAGCTGACAGTTTAAAATGTTACAGATATGAATAATTATATGTTTTATATTATGAATAAGTTCCATCCAGGTTGAAATAAAGATTATAGAATTATACTTTGTTATAGGTGAAAACAATCATGGATAAGTAGCTTTTACCAGCACATTCTGGTAATATATTGGTGATTTTTTGTTGTTTGTTGGTCATTTTCACAATAAAATGTCCCACGAACAATTACAGTCTACACTTTTTATCACAATAAATGATACTATTGTTTATTGTCCCATCTCTAGCCACACTATAAATTGCATCTGATTCAAAAGAGTGGAAATGTAGTTGACCAAACCAAAACCAAACCAATTAAATTATCTTTCAACAATCCATTTGCTGTATTCTTATCCTCATTGTTCATGCTACCATAATGGACCTCTTTGGTAATGTAATAAAAATGTAATAAATTGAAACACTTACTGGTCTGGAGTGATACAAATACACTGACATATAGTTAGCACATAGCAACGAGCAAACATGTCATTAATTGCCTTGTGACAATAATAAGTGTATAACCCTGGTTTGCCGAATACCAAGCAAAATTGGTTTCAAACTTGAAATGCTATTCAAATGTTTTTCTTAATATTCAAATTTCCACCTAGTATAAAATAGCCAACCAATTTTTTTAAATGTGTCAGGTCATGCAAACACACCCACAAAAGCTGACCAAAACAAGGCCACAAGCTGCTGCATACGAAAACACACAAGTGATGCATAGAGCTTTTGTAATATAACCCCTTTGGTATTATCTCCGTTGAAATCGAACAACTGTATCTTATCCTGTTCCCTCAGCTGTTTTGTTTTTGGGATCTGGTGAAACATGCTCAAAGGGAAGTGTAGTGCTGGAGGGGAGGGGAGAGTGGCAGGAAGTAGGCTTGTCAAAGTTTACAAACAGTGAGAGAAGCTGTCGATAGGAGGCTACTGCTGAGGCCGGGCCCAAAGGAAGAGGTTTGGCCCAGGGAGCATGGGAACAGAGCAAAACTAGGGTTAAAAACAAAGACATAAAAATGAGCTCATCTGATGGTCAGGACTGGTCATCTGAATTTCCACTGAGCTAAACTTCAACACTAACTCTCTGTGCTCATTTAAGAATAGACTGTGCATCATCAATCGCTACTTGGAAAATGTTGCAGCTAGTTTTTTGTCTGATTTGGTCGCCTTCTACTAAATGGGGTCTTGTTTTCTCTGTGTGTAGTTCTACCAGTGTGCTCCTTGCATCTCTCTGTCCTCTGTTTTGCTTTGCGCAGATGGCCGGAGCAGCTGAATCAGGGCCAAGGGGAGGAAGAGGAAAAGAAAAAAAAACAAAAAACAGCATACTGAAGACAGGGACAAATAACTACTGCAGCAGGCCACCACCCAAAACATTTCAGAGGATCACGTCAGTTAAAGATGTCAGGGATTTTCTATTAGGAGAGATCTGGTGCCTGTGAGGACTAAAAGGAAAAAATGTCTAAAAATGAATTAATTATTTTTCAGGCTAGCTAGTGCATGTAGGACTGGATGGGAGTGTGCCTCTGTTCCCTCAGCACTATGTTCCCCTCATTTTTATTTTTTTCCCAAATTTAGGCCCTATGTTCCCACATTTCCTTTATCATCAATTTGCATTAGAATTTATCCCCATTTCTCCCAATTTGGTAGTCAATTACAGCCAACCAATTATCCAGCAGCAGTCAACTACAGATTTAATCTTGAGGTCATGGTGCAAAGGATCCTAGGTTGAAATGACTACCTTTAAATGTGGTATAAAAATGAAAATAACTTGATTTAGAGTTTAATTTTGAGAAAAAATCTTAGAAATAAAGGGACATAAGGCTGAGGGAACATAGGGCTGACCCCGGACTATTGGACAACTTTCAAAAGATGATTATAAGCTGGTTCCAATAGTGAAAGAGTTGATAAGTGATCATGTCACTACTAGGTTCAACCAGAAACTTCAGATCTGATTTCTAGCTTTGTTTTTGTTCCTTATTCATCAAACAAGAGACCTTTAGTCTAGCCAAGCTTCTTACCTCAACTCCCTGTACACTTTCTGCCACTGTTATAACCATAAATCCATGCTTTTAACCATGTTACCTTTAACAACTGGAATCTCTTCTTAACGTGAGATGTGTTCTCGCAAAAAAAAGGAAATTGTAAACATGTTTGTTATTTTTTCAATGTTTTCAATCAGCTGATGGACCTGGAAGTGACATCACACTGGGGGCAGGTGGAGAGAGCGAAGTAACCTCCTATAATGGGAAAGAAGAGATTTCTACCAGGCCAACCAATTGGCCATTGATAATTTGGTACTGGATAACAGTTTTATATACGATAGTAAATCTTCTTAAAATCTGACCAGATAAACATTGTCTCACCTGCTTTCATCACCTGCTTTCTATTTCCAAACCAGTTTTATAATGAAGCCAGGAAACTATCTGCAAATGTAATTCGCAAATTCATCAATCACTACCTTGGTTGTGTGTTTACAGCCATTTGTGAAATAGCACATTAAACCCGCTACTACTGCGTATGACAAATCTCCAACGTGCCAAGGCAAACTTTGTAAATCTGTTTGACCACGCAGTGAACCATAAAATATACTCTGCCTCCAATCACCGTGCCTTCTCCCTTTACGAACAATCTCCTCCCACATAGGGCTGCAGCAGATCTGTCCAGAGTGCTCATGGGTAATGCTGCTGTGGAGAATGGGAGGCAGCAGTGATAAATCCTTGCAGGGCCATGGCCAGAGGAACATTTCTCTTTGTGCACTGTGCTCCAGACAGCTGTGAGATTGCACTTCTCTCCCAGGCTCTGACACTCACTCAGCCGCCCATGTACGCCATTAAGACCCCCCATCAGTCAGAAGAACGGCGGGGGCAAACTTCTGCTTATCTTCTGAGGAGCA